CATTTGTCAATGTGTGCAATTTGGAATAGCTCGGCACGGATTAAAATCGTAATTTCTATGAACGTAACATATCTATAGTTCTATAATATCATTGTAGGGGTCACTTAAAAATTAGAGATTGATGGCGAAAACGGGCATAAGAAACTTTTATGACTTTGTATTTATGACACATTGTGAAGATGTAGGTCTATTAGAATCATACGAAAATAACGACGTGTACGTATATTCATTTTCAAAACTTTTACAGGTAGGTACATATTAAATTAGTCATCAAGACTTTTATTTTTGACTCGCTCATAATCGTTTCCTGGACCAAAACCCAAAATGTGACGTATTTGCAGAGGGGTGGAGTACGTTACTAGCAGAATGTTTGGGTTACTGTGAAAATAATCGCATCTGATTTATGTACTTTTCCTAAATTAAGTTAAGTTAAATTGTTTTTAATAACTTAAATGTTATTCTGAGCTTTGTTACGTCTTGTTTGAATAGTGTAATAGGTACTACCGTTCTATTCATGAATAAATAAATAAATAAATAATACCTATTGGTCATTACATTTTGTAAAAACAGGAAAATTGCGTTTAAAATGTGGTTAATGTAGATTATGTAGAGATTACGAAAAACAAACAATCTCGTGCGCACTTAATTTTGCACTTAGGAGTTACGTAGATCATTAGGCCAACTTGTATGCATAACTACGCGTAACATAGGAAGGAAGTTAAATTTAACTACTTAGTTAATCCGGTACGGGTTAGATTCTCCGGCGTGACACAGAAAAATATCGAGTATTAGGATCAGTACCTGTACAGCCTTATCTATAAACCATTAAAAAGTATATTTTATTGTAATTTGTAGTACTAAAATAAATGGTTCGCAAATTGCTGCTTTTTTATTAAGTGGGTCCTTCAAATTGTGCTTGATTTCGGGAGTCCGAGGATAAAAAGTTTAAGAAACACTATTAGATTATCCGAAAAAAAAATGTTTAACTGTCTGCAGATTAACAAAACATGCCTATTAGATTATTTATTTTGTATAGGTAGTTGTTGATACTTATTTCTATCTGAAGTAGCTATAAAAGGTAGTAACCTAGTGGTAAACATAAAAAACCCGTTTATTACCACTGTAGGTAAACAACACCCTTTAAATTCCATTAACTATTTCAAATTAGACTCTCCTTACTTCACAGGACCAGTCGAAGCAGCCAACATGACCCTGGAACAGCCAGCCGGTGAGATGTGGCAGAAGATCCGCGAGGAGCTAAATGAGAAGGTGGACACCAGGGACCAGGACCTTGCACACATCAAGGAGTGGTTGAAGAAGGAGCCCCATCTACCTGATGAATTTGGTTAGTTGATAATTAAGACATAGTATGACATAAGTAGTTATTAAGCTATGATATTCAGTTTTGTTAGAAGATGAGTGGTTTCAACCTAATTTACAATTTTGTCAGTGTCGGCAGCTATTAAGCCGTAGCAAGCTAAATTATAATATCTACAACGATGAAGCTCTTAGTCACCTGATTTATTTAATGAGTGATTTGATAGTGAAACTTTTTAACTACCTGTAAAATGAATTCCATTGATATCATGTCCATCAACAGTTTACCTCAATTATGCGAGTCTCGGAGCTCGAATCGCCTTTCTTTTTTGACACGGAAAATAGCTAGTCCTTCATCAACCTGGGTACAAGTTTCCTCACACCCACATGTAGGGGTCAAACCTATTAAAACCTTGAAATGCTCCCTTATCGTAGACTGAAAGACATCGGAACGTAATTATCAACATATTCATCTTCATTATCATCATCAGGACTTTTGGTCTCCGCTGCAGGAAGGCGACCATCTCTAATGTACCAGAAGCAACTGGAAAATTGGGCCTATATTCCCCAAGGAGCGAAGAGTTAGGAAGGCCTGATCTTCATTATTGATACCAAAAATCCTTCTTAATCATTGTAAAATCCTCCAGCAGCTAATATGTTATCCTCCACAGACGACCAGCGTATCCTGACCTTCCTCCGCGGCTGCAAGTTCTCCCTGGAGAAGACCAAGCGCAAACTGGACATGTACTTCACCATGCGTACTGCGGTGCCTGAGTTTTTCACTGACCGTGACGCCACCAGGCCTGAGCTACAGGAGATCTTGAATATTGTGTAAGTTGCATTCATCATTGTAACGTAGATCAGGTGTCATCAATTAACTGTGAATATTTTAAAGAGTTTATTGTAAACCCTTGAAATTTAAAAGGAGGCTGACAATAGTGACTGGACGCCCGTATTCACAAACGATGCTTGCAAAAGCTTCACTTTTGCAAGCATTTTGACGTTGAATAGAGTTCTGTGATTGGTTCGTGTGTCACCCTGTACGTCCACGTGCACTGTGAGACCTCATAGTAATGTTTGTGAATAAGGGCGTGAGTTTCTTGCACTGCTTTATCTAAACACTGGCCCATTTCTTGTCCCGAAGCAGTAGTAGGGTTAATACTGGGACGTGTAAAACTGCTTTTTAAAAACCTACTTACAAAAAATAAATGAGTTTCATGACTTTTTATCATCGTTCAGCCAAAAGCGTGCACTGAACATAGGCTTTCCCCAATAATTTCAGATTGACAATAATTTCACTTTGGAGTAGCCTGCGTGTAGCGCATTCTAGCAACTTTTATAACGCCATCTTGAGGATGGACGGATGATAATCTATTGTAAACTAAAATAGCAGAAATCATCTATGAACTCATCTAAATTAGNATCTCTAATTTGTATGTTTAATTTAATTAGGATACTTTTCGGCCAATAATAATAATTTCATTATCCTCCTAATATTATAAATGCGAAAATTTGGATGTCTGGATGGATGTTTGTTACTCTTTCACGCAAAAACTACTGAAAAGATTTTGATGAAATTTTACAGTATGGTAATTATACTTTAAAATCCAGAATAACCTAGAGGCTATAATTTATGTCGATCTGTGACAAAACTAAATTTCAAGCGGGTGAAGCCGCGGGCAAAAGCTAGTGTACTTTAAATCTTTCTATGATCTTCTTGGGAATGGAACTTAGAACCATCTGACTAAAATATTTCTACTTTTACCGTAGTACATTATCATAATATTAATATGTACTAGCTTTCCGCCCGCGACTTCGCACGCGTGAAATTTCGTTTGTCACAGATCGTCATAAATTATAGCCTATATGTTATACTGGATTATGAACAATAATACTGTAAAGTTTCATCAAAATCCGTTCAGTGGTTTTTGAGCCAAACATACAAACATACAAAAATAGGTACAAATCTTTCCTCTTTATAATATTAGTATAGATTAGCCTCTTCTACCAACTTCAGATCTGAGTCATCGCTATCGACCGCCATTATAATGGGCTATTATTATGTATAGCATGTACTTACACGCCAAAATTACTTACAAATAAAGCAAAACCTATCATACGTGACTTCCTCACTAGTGTTGGGGGAAAAATAAATAAATATCGACGTTATCGACTATAATACGATAGCTTATCAGTTACTCACTTGTATAATCTGTTTATAGATATCGATTTAAGCTCTTAATGACTTTAGTGATTCTACAGTAAAAGATTGATGGACAAAGGCTAATCTTTCGGGACACCCCTCAATTTAATTATTGTTATCTGGCTGTTAAGCCGTTTGCTATCAGAATTAGCCTATAAAATTGCAGCGGCAGGAACGATTATGTTAGCAGTTGGGTGTTGCCTCCTTATACTAAACTACCACATTATAGTAAGGTAAGATGCTCGCCCTTAGCTTACCTTTACTCAATTTACTACAGCAGATTGTTATGGCTTATTTTGCAATAATTTGCGTATTAAATTATCCTACCAGCGGCCGCACGCGACTTCGTACGTATGGATCGCCTGGAGTTTCTTAAAATTCGTTCTTAGTGGATTTCTACCTACTGAGTGGTACTTACTCGTATTTCGCTTTTATACTCGTAAGTAGATAGCAATCATTGTAACTAAAATTTAATTATGTAACTTTTAACAACGATGGAAAATCACTATCATAAATCTACATTGTGAGACTGATTTCCTAAACTATCGATAAGTACATCGACGTTAATTTTCTCCAACACTATTCTCGTCAAGAAAAAGCATCGCCTCTACAAACCGTTACTCCGTTACTCCATAGCAATTGTCGAGGAATTAAAATTAGAGGTGGTGGCACTGTAATTTTCACATCTTCTAGCATTAGAACGGTTAAGTAACATTCTTTGTAATTTGGTTTACTTATTTTTTACTAACCTCCACTTGCCGTGGATTTACATAATCATTATAGTATATGTAGAGATAGCAGCAAATCAGACGATACTGTTTTAATAGCACTAATATAATTACCTACTTACGTCTTCATTAAGTTTTTTGTCAGCTATACTTCCATACTTTTTAATATTATAAAGCTGAAGAGTTTGTTGTTTGCTTGAACGCGCTAATCTCAGGAACTACTGGTTCGATTAGATTTTTTTGTATTGGATAGCCCATATATCGAGGAAGGCTTTAGGCTATAGTATAACATCACCCTACAGTAAATAGGGGCGGAGCAGTAGATAAAGAAGAATGTTGCAAAAATAGGAAATATAATTTAAACTAAATTCACGCGTAGGAGTCGCAGGCGCAGCTAGTGTTTTCATAAATTAGTTTCCTATTCAAGTTCTTCTTCACGAATAAAGTTACTACCTAAAAAGTAAAGTAAAACTTCTCATCTTTCTTATCGACTTCAGAAAGATATTCGCGAGCTTCCAACTGCCACTGATAGCATCTTTCGAAAGATTTATCTTTCAAATGTAATTAACTCTGTGACAAGGCCAAGAAAAAGCGATTAAAAAGTTTAGAATAAAAGATTTAAGATAGAGACGCTATCTTTTTCTCATCCTAAAATTAAATACCGTCAGAAAATCGCTATTATCCCAATTGCTATCAAATTGAAAGCGATCGCAGCAGTAGTCGCTATGTATTTGACAATTTAACGCAACGAATCATACAAAATAAGTAGTACAGTCGCGGAATGAAAAGGTTCGTCACCTTAGTGTCGGTTTTCGCTTGCACTAGGTACAGTAAGAGTCAAACCTGCCAACATAACAGTACAAGAAACAGTGCTGCTAACATTTAAATAAATATGACGTTTCCTAACGAATAAGGTTTTGCTTGTTTATTTTTCTATCCCATCAGTGCAATGCAATGATGACATTAACCAATTGACAATAGTTTTTTTTATTTAAAAGAAATAATAATGGCAGGTTAAACCAACAAGAAGGTTTTAGTTTATCAATCGTAATAATCTTCTTGACAAGATAAATCGTCAAACAACTTTGATCTGAATAATTTTGAACTTTACTGACGAACAGTTAAAGATTATTTTCTCTAACTCGAGGTTATTCTGTAACATAGTTTCAAAAGGTTATAGGTATGTGCTCGCGATTCGTTGAAGGAATCAATTTGAAAACTGACGAACCTTTTCATTCCGTGACTGTACATAGGAGTCGTTTGCTATTTTTCTTGATTATGTATTAAATCTATGTTGTAATACTCAAAAAATAATAATATGTTTGGCTGTAAAAATTACCTATTAAGATAAAAAAAAATCCAAGTATTTAGTAGTCACGAACCAGTCATTTGAAATCTAGCCGCAAAATCTCTCAGACTAGAATCTAGGTCGATTACTGTGACTTGCGGTTTCCACACTAATCTAGACTCAAATTTTACCTACTTTTCGCTTCAGAAGCTGTATTTTTTGTTCGTCACCGTAAAAGTATAACATTTTTAATGTTCCGGAACATTCTACACTTTTTGTTGAAGATCTTTTTTTAGATAAATTGATAAATATTCGCCGGAGTTTCTCGCATCTCATAGATGTCTTGACTAGAGACTATTTTGAAGTAGGTACTATTTATTTTATGCAAAGAAATTATTGAACAATAAATCAATACAAGATACCTATTATCTGCTTTCGGAAGAATTCACGTTGGTACACATAAGATTTTTTATAGTATTCTCTCGTATCATACCTTATATTTGGTCCTTACCTGTCTTATAATGTGCACCTAAATTATTTACTAGCGGCCGCCCGCGACTTCTAGCATTTCCGATCCGATTGATCCCGTTTTACTAGTAAAATTCAACCCCTAGGGGTTGAATTTTTCAAAATCTCGTCTTAGTGATAGGTTCGTTCGTCGTTCCAAGAGGTTCCATTCGTTTGTTCGTTTCAGCCAAATGACGTCCACTGCTGGACAAAGGCCTCCCCCAAGGTTTTCCACAATGCACGGTCCTGCGCTGCTCGCATCCAGGCTCTTTCCGCGGCCTTTACCAGATCGTCGGTCCACCTAGTAGGAGGCCTGCCCACATGGTTCCATGCTAAATTAAATTTGAGACTCCTAGCACTTGTAGTTTCTAAGATTTTATGATGAGTACTCACTCTTCACGAAAAGCGAAAGGCTCTTAAAGAATATGTACTGACTCGAGTCAGTACCATTAATCAACGTAACAAAAAGTAGTTTCAAATCACGTATGTACTTATAAGACTCTTTTCAGTCCCCATAATACCCGTAATAGAACGTGGAACGACAAAGAAAAATAGTCAAGATAGAAACCACTAAGGGTTCATTTTGAGTACAATATTTACTGCAAATAAGTAAGTATTTTTTGTACCTTTTGAAGTTGACTTTTAAAATACAACAAGAAGGCGTTTTAACAATAACACTACTAGTTTGCTTTGGGTGCTTTCGGGAAGGGACGGGTATGACCTTCACGACCTACTCGTAACTCTACAAGTCTACACAGAGTCTAAACTAACTCTACACCTTTGTCAAAATAATATGTAGCTTGGCCGTTTTGTACTAAGTACTTTGTTACTTAAGTAGGTAAAAGAATTATTGTACAATTTAGTTAGGACATGTAGAGTTACAAGCAATGTATACCAACCTAGAGCAAAAAATAATTTGAATTTGAAACTTGGCATCTACACGTAAAGTTATCTTTTTCACAATGCTAGCCATTATGGTTTCGTTTTGGCAACATTTTATACGAAATAGTGATGGAATACTAGAAACTATAGTCCCAGTTCTTTTTAGTCATAATCACGGAACCCTAAAATGTATAGACATCTTTTTGCCCTCTCTAGTCACGTAGCTTAGGACACGTAAAAACGTAATGAACTGACCACGGTCCGCACGTTTCAGGGTTTATTCTAATAAAACCTCTTAAGCTGCATCGTAGAGCTTTTATAAAGCTTAAGAGTGCAAAAGCTTTAAAAGACTTGTGTGTGTTACCTTTTCACAAAAAAGTACCGAAAGTATTTAGAAGAAACTGAGGGCTGAGTGTGAGTTTACATTTAACGTCGTCACTAGTGAGCGCGAAAAAAATTACACTAAATGTATGACGGATTGTACAGCGCCCCTAGTGGAAACTTTCAAGAACTAAAATTTTCATACATTTTTTAACGCGCTCACTAGAAAGCGCGTTTGATGTAAACTCAAACTAGGCCCTATGTACAGTATTATTGTTTTTACATTAAAATAACATAATAAGCTTTATAAGCATCTATGACAAACTGCTTTTGCAAACGCGGACAAAATCTTTTACATTTACTTAAAGAGTAGGCGCACACCGTTGATTTTCCGTCGGCCGATAGTTTAGTCGGGCAGTTGATCAGTATGGGCATGTATGGGATTTAGCCGATTCTTCATACAAATTAAAATCGGGCACAACTATCGGCCAACTAAAAATCAACGGTGTGCGCCTACTCTTAGCCAACGAACTGAATCTGTCAACAAATGACAATGCATCTGTTTTTATTACTAAATGGACGATTATTAATTTTTTGTAGCATCTTGCCTGCTTTTTATAAAAACTAACTATGAAAACTTGTTTGACTTAGGCCCGGTTTTTTGATTCGTAGTTAAAATAACCAATGGTCAAGTTTGACAGATGTCAAATGACAAGTGGTTAAATATCAGAAAAAAATGTTTTTCGAACAATGGTTAGCTTGACTTTTAGTACATTTTTTAACTACTAGTTAACATTTTGTTAATATTTAACCATTAGTAGCAAAATTTAACAATTTGTTATTTTAACTACGAATCAAAAAACTGGGACTTAGGGCTGATTTTTCAACCGCTGGTTAACTTTTAACTGAAGAATAAGTTTGGCACATTGACAGTTTCAGTATGAGAAATATGTCAAAATGTCAATTTTATTCTTCAGATAAAAGTTATCCGGCGATTGAAAAATCAGCCCTTATTTCATTTGTCATCTTTATTAATACGTGACAAGGATAATGAACTTAGTTTTTCTTGGCTTCAAATGCCGTCTTCGATAAGAAAATAGGCAAAAAATCATAACAATTTTTAGTACCTCCTGTAGTACTAAAATTTCATAAAAAGGACACAGAACTTAAAAGTAAGTAAGAACGTTAATTTTCTTTTTTTTGCAAAAAAATGTTAATAATAGCAATTTCACTTCTCAAAAAACCTTATTTCAAAACCGTACCTATCTATGTATAATGATATACCTACTGTAAAACTTTTTACAGTTGCAAAACTGGCATTCATCTTAGTAGAAAGCAAGTCTGCACAGCCTATAGCAGGTCCAGCTATACATTTTATTGAAAAATATCTTCTATCACCAGTACATAAGGTACCGCAGTGTATAACTTGACGTGCTCTTTCGTAAACTTTCTGAGTTTTTGTGAATCCAACAATAAAAAGTCAGATTTACGAAGCGTTAACATTTTTTGCAATATAAAAGTTAATAAGTATGATTTTTTAAAACATCACCGCTTTCACTACAGTTGGGTAACTATCACGCTTTGTGTATGAATTTTGCGCTCTGTTTAGTATTTTTAATTGATTTTTCAACATATCTTAATGAGAAGATCGCATAGATAACGTACGTTATGCTAAGAATGAGCTCTAAAGACAAATACACTTTAAGTTATTTAGTTGAAATTAAGGTCATCATCATAATGTACCGCAGATTTGCTAAAATGCCATTTGGCAGTTGGGCAGGGCACATAGCTCGTAGAGCTAATGGCCGCCGAGGCAGAAAAGTTCTCGAGTGGAGACCACAGGCCGGAAGGCGTAGTGTGGGCAGCGTTCCCCACTAGGTGGACCGACGATCTGGTGAAGATCGTGGAATGTACCTGGATGCGGGCAGCGCAGGACAGGTCGTATGAAAATCTCATCATCATCATCATTTCAGCCACAGGACGTCCACTGCTGAACATAGGCCTCCCCCAATGCTTTCCATGTTGATCGATTGGTAGCGGCCTGCGTCCAGCGCTTCCCTGCTACCTTTACGATGTCGTCGGTCCACCTTGTAGGTGGACGTCCCACGCTGCGTTTTCCGGTACGCGGCCTCCATTCCAGAACCTTTCTGCCCCATCGGCCGTCAGTTCTGCGTACTATGTGCCCTGCCCATGAAAATCTATGAGGGAGGCATTTGTCCAGCGATGGACATCATTTGGCTGAAACGACATAATATTCAGTTAAAATCGATAGTATCAGGTGGGACTCGATCCCAAGACATTACAATTGCCTGACTACTGCTTTTACCGTTGAGCCATGGAGTCATCGGTTAACCTGTTGGTTGACCCTCAAAGAAATTAACCATAATAATTTGGACAATAATGGCAGCTTGCTACGTTGCTGTATAATATAGGGCATTAATAAGACTTTAACACATTGAGTCCCGTTCATGCAATCTTCGTCAGTTCACTTAGTTTACACAGCACGACCCTCTCTAATTACCAATAGAAAATAATGATTTAGCCTAAACTCAACTTATGTGTGTGATTGCTTACCAGCCCCACAGTCATGACACGTAAGAATGCGACTATCCTAGAGACCCCATAAGAGAAAGCCATTAACTCATTAATTGCTTCACTAATGGGGCATACAGAAGGTTACTATATCGGTGTGGCAAGAATTGCGCCAACGTCATAGGGGCACGGCGCGAGCGCATTCATTGTTTTATGTTCAGTACAGTATTTTATATATTTTTTTTAATTTAAAACTTACATGCACATAACACTGTACATAAGGTGGACTAAATGCTATTCGGCATTCTCCTCCAGTCAACCTTAGGGCCAAACTGAGATAAGATTACTTCTAAATAAATTTTCAAGGCGAGAGTGAATAGGCACTTACAGGGCAGATATTATTATGTACCATCCTAGACTGCATCTTACTTAACACCAGGTGCGATTGCGGTCAAATACCTGCCTTGTCTAGCATAAAAAAAACATATATTAGATACATATATTACATACATACATTATTAAATAAGATGGATGACAAACAAAAGGAGAAAAAATGAAAACGGTAGAGAGAAGAACAGTATTAGGACTTACTTTAAAAAGCCTACCTTTCGGTTTTATGATGAAGTATTCAATAGGTACGCTTAATGTACTACATCTAAATTACTATAAGACTGAGAAGTTTGTGACTGTATACTGTATATGTGAAGATGTAGGTATACTAGAATCATACTAAATTAACGACGTGTATATGTTACGGTCAATGTGATAAATGTGAAAATTATGAATAATCGACGGTTATTATGAATAATTACATCATGATTTGGTAAATGTGATTAATATGAGGTCATTTATGTGTGTATAAAACTAAATAGGCGGCTTAGGGGTGGCCCAAGGGCCACCCCCGCCGCACCTTAACCTATTTTTCACTTTAAATCAAAACATTATGTTATGTACATCATGGAAAACTAATATGATGTAAGAAACATCCCAAACTCATTATGCCAAATTATATTAATATATGATATCAAAACGTTCAAAAATTTTGGCTGTACAAGGGCACGTACACAAGATGTTGTTCTCTTTAATGATATTTGTTAGATCTAAGGTTGAATTATTAAATAATCACTGTTAAATGTTATTAAGTTTTCACTTTTACCGCGACTCTTGGTAATTATTCATAATAACCGGTTTTTATTCATAATTTTCAATTTATCACATTAACCGTAACATAATATCATTTTCAAAACTTTTACAGGTACATAGGTACTTTAATTAGTCATCAAGACTTTTATTTTTGACTCGCTCATAATACCTATTGGTCATTACATTTTGTAAAAACAGGAAAATTGCGTTTAAAATGTGGTTAATGTAGATTATGTAGAGATTGCGAAAAACAAACAAACTCGTGCGCACTTAATTTTGAACTAACGGAGTTACGTAGATCATTAGGCCAACTTGTATTCATAACTATGCGTAACATAGGAAGGAAGTTAAATTTAACTACTTAGTTACCCGGTACGGGTTAGATTCTCCGGCGTGACATAAAAAAATATCGAGGTTTAGGATCATTATGATTTGTGATCAAGATTGATCCCTTAGATCAGTGTTTCTTAACCTGCGGACCCCTGGGTCAGCCTTATCTTTAAACCATTAAAAAAGTATATTATTGTCATTTGTAGTACTAAAACAAATAGTCCGATTGCTGCTTTTATATTAAAAGGGGGTTCTTCTTCTTATCATGTCGACAACAAACCTACACAGTGTCAGTCCAAAACTCCGCTACAAGAGTGGCGTTGTCAGCAGCATCCATTAAATCCTTCTGCGTGTAGTTGCTCGGACACTCAGGGTCTTTAAAATAATGCTTGATTTTCTAAGGGGTCCAAATATATATTAAATTAGGATAAAAAAGATTAAGATTATGGCCACGTGGGCAAATTAAACTCTTTAAATTCCATGTAACTATTTCAAATTAGATCCACCTTACTCCACAGGACCAGTCGAAGCAGCCAACATGACCCTGGAACAGCCAGCCGGTGAGATGTGGCAGAAGATCCGCGAGGAGCTGAACGAGAAAGTGGATACCAGGGACCAGGACCTTGCGCACATCAAGGAGTGGCTGAAGAAGGAGCCCCATCTACCTGATGAATTTGGTGAATACTTTATGAAGAATTGAAGAAAATGTTATCAGTTAATGTTAAGCAGTTCTAGTGGAACATGGGTGATTGTAATAGGAAAACGGTCAAATTGAATGTTACTCAGTGTTTATGGATTAGCTACCTATGTAGGTGCTTACTCGTACTAGAAAATAGTTTTTGGCTAAAACACAATTCCCTTTTTGAAGATTTACTATGATTTGAAATGGGACAGCCGCTTAATGTCATGCCAGTCAAAAGTTTACCTCAATACACGGTCTACCATTGGGGCTCCAGTTCGAATTTAAGTATTTTCTTTTTTGACACGAGCAAATAACCTATTCTTCATCATCTTGAGGACAAGTTTGCTCACACCCATATGTAAGGGTCAATACTATTAAAACCTTGAGATGCTCTTTTACCGTTGACTAAAACATCATTATCATCAGGTTTTTTTTAATATCCACTGCAGGAAAACGACCTTCTCTAATTTACCAGAGGCAAATGAAGAATTTAGCCTGCATTCCCCAAGTACTGAAGAGCTGGTAATGCCTCTATTAGTCTCCTCTGACAATATCTTCACATCTTCATTGATACCAAGAATCCTTCTTTACTATTATAAAGTCCTCCAGCAGATAAAAAGACGACTTCAATAATTGTAAAGTCTTCTACCAGCTAAAGATATCCTCCTCCACAGACGACCAGCGTATCCTGACCTTCCTCCGCGGCTGCAAGTTCTCCCTGGAGAAGACCAAGCGCAAACTGGACATGTACTTCACCATGCGTACTGCGGTGCCTGAGTTTTTCACTGACCGTGACGCCACCAGGCCTGAGCTACAGGAGATCTTGAATATTGTGTAAGTTGCATTCATCATTGTAACGTAGATCAGGTGTCATCAATTAACTGTGAATATTTTAAAGAGTTTATTTTTAACCCTTGAAAAGGAGGCTGACAATAGTGACTGGACGCCCGTATTCACAAACGATGCTTGCAAAAGTGAAGCAGCAAATCGAACGCACAGCGTTGAATAGAGCTCTGTGATTGGTTCGTGTGTCACCCTGTACGTCCACGTGCACTGTGAGACCTCATAATAATGTTTGTGAATAAGGGCGTGAGTATCTTGCACTGCTTTATCTAAACACTGGCCCATTTCTTGTCCCGAAGCAGTAGTAGGGTTAATACTGGGACGTGTAAAACTGCTTTTTAAAAACCTACTTACAAAAATAAATGAGTTTTTTATGAGTTTTATCATCGTTCAGCCAAAAGCGTGCACTGAACATAGGCTTTCCACAATAATTTCAGATTGGCAATAATTTCACTTTGGAGTAGCCTGCGTGCGCATTCTATCAACTTTTATGACGCCATCTTGAGGATGGATGGATGATAATCTATTGTAAACTAAAATAGCAGAAATCATCTATGAACTCATATAAATTACNGGACAAGACAAAAATCATGTCAAATGCCCGTGTTGTACCCACTCCTCTGAAGGTTGGAGACACTACACTCGAAGTTGTTGACAATTATGTATACCTGGGACAAACAGTCCAGTTAGGTAGAGCCAACTTCGAGAAAGAGGTCAGTCGTCGAATCCAACTCGGCTGGGCAGCGTTCGGGAAGCTTCGCGAAATTCTCTCGTCCGAAACACCGCAGTTTCTCAAGTCAAAAGTATTTGACCAATGTGTGCTGCCACTAGTTGCCAGTGATGGTATACGGATCTGAGACGTGGTCGCTTACTATGGGCTTCATAAGAAGGCTCAAAGTCACCCAAAGAGCGATGGAGCGTGCTATGCTCGGAGTTTCCCTGCGTGATCGAATCAGAAATGAGGAGATCCGTAGGAGAACCAGAGTGACTGACATAGCCCGCAGAATCGCTAAAATGAAGTGGCAGTGTGCGGGGCACATAGCTCGAAGAGCTGATGGCCGCTGGGGCAGGAAAGTTCTGGAGTGGCGACCACGAGCCGGAAGACGTGGCGTGGGCAGGCCTCCCACTAGGTGGACCGACGATCTGATAAAGGTCACGGGTGGTGCCTGGATGCGAGCGGCGCAGGACCGGTCTTTGTGGAAATCCTTGGGGGAGGCCTTTGTCCAACAGTGGACGTCTTTCGGCTGAAACGAAACAACAAATAAAAATGTAAAATAATATTTATTTTAAGAATTTACAATTCTGCGTTCTCATAATCGGCGCTAACGCACAACTGCCGCGCGATCAGAATGGTGTATGACGCAGCACGTGGAGGGGGTTTATTTTGCTAGAGTGACGTATTACTTGCTGTACACAAAACAAGACTCTATTCTAATGATGTTAGTAAGATTTTGCTATTAGATGATACGTTTGAAATGCAGTAACTATTTTATAAGTACTCACGTCAGTTCGGCGCATTTGCTGTATGTTCGACATCGTAAGATTTTAGGGCGGCTGAAATGCTGTATCTCCTTTAAAATCAATGTTCGACTCAGGAAAAGAGTGCTGTAACTGTTTAACATACTAGTAGTGTGGTCGTATCTATTTTATTTTCGAAAGTTGCGATTTTTTGACTAGTTACAGCAATTGGTCAAGTAAATTGTAAAAAAACTGGAAAAAATTCTATGACGTATCTATATTTTTTTTCATCGTAGAAAGACGATACATACACCATTCGACGCGGCTTTTTTTTCTTAATACAATACAATTAAAAGTCATTTTAGCCAATTTTTGAGATACGACATTTCCGCTTTCTGCCGTCGGTATACAAACAGAATCCACAGTGCAAGCCGGCCAGACATAAGAGCATTTCAAAATTGAATTTCCATCAAAGGGCACTCTCCAAGTTGAGCTCTGTGTAGATTAACTCAATAAAAGCGACTTTGCGAGCTTAGTTTGAAACTACAGAAAACTAGCCCTGACAGTTTTACATCCAAGTAATTTCATGTTAGTAGTTTACTAACTTTAGTTGGTAGTAATAGAATAGTTTTCATTGCTTTATAGTGGCCGCACGTATGCAATAAGGGACTTTGTCCCTTCTTAATTTGATGAAAATGCGAAAGCAAAAATGACGCCTAAATTCATTTTGAGTCAGATTAAAATTTCGAGAAAACTAAGCTCCTTTCTTTACTACTCGTTCCGAAAAAATGGAGGAGTTAAATGGAGAGAAATATTAAATCATTATACCTATCATCTTTTGTGAAGGTTCACAGCTCTAGATTCTTAATACCTATATTGTATTATTTCTTTAAAATGTCTCTTTTTTTTCTTTTTCAGGCAAATGCCTCCTCTGCCAGGACTCACGCCTGAAGGTCGTCGTGTCATTCTCATGAGAGGTAAGTTTTCATCATTAGGAGAAGTATCTTTCATTATTTATGTTACACACGTTGGGGTACCTTAAGTGCAGAAAATTCTGTCACAAAAATATAATGCCAACTCGCATACCTTGGCGCAGTTTTTCATCGTGTTGGCATAGTTTTCAGATGGAAAACTGCGTCAGATTTGCGAGCTAAACTAACTTTAAATTAGTTCTTGATCTGTAACCTGAATTTTTGAGATGGTTTTCAGATTGCTCATACTTTGTATTAAAGACTAGCGGCCGCCCGCGACTTCGTACGCGAGGATCCCACTTTACCCCCTTAGGAGTTGAATTTTGCAAAATCCCGTCTTAGTGAGCACCTACGTTTTAAAAGGAACCTCCATGCAAAATTGGAGAATGCTAGCACTTGTAGTTTCTGAGATTTCGTGATGAGTGAGTGAGTCAGTCAATCAGCGACCTTTCGCTTTTATAGACACAAATGGCAAATCAAACTGCACTATTAGCCTTATATTATCTGGGGCCTTATCTTCTAAACTCAATCCTCATCTCTTCCAGGTCTCGACAAAGACGTCCAGACCCCCAACGTAGCGGATGCCTTCAAACTGGCCCTGATGCTGGGAGACGTGCGTCTGGTCGAAGAGAAGGAGGGCGTGGCTGGTGACGTCTACATCCTGGACGCGTCGGTGGCGACACCTACACACTTCGCCAAGTTCACCCCCACTTTGGTCAAGAAGTTCCTTGTCTGTGTACAGGTCAGTACTCTATCTTTCTGCCTTTGATGCGCTGCCGCCCATTCTCCGTTTGATGTGCAGTCCCTAAGTCGCCTCTTACGACACCCGCGGGAAGAGTAGGGGGCCGTGTTGTGACGGCAGAGTAGAATACATTTGTTACCATTCCCCCCCTCTCCATCCATTTGCCTCTGGTAAAATAGAGAGGTTCTTCCTCCTAAAGTGGAGACTAAACGACCTGTTGATAATGATGATGATAACAGAAGATGTTAAATTCAATTTGAAACAAATTTCATTAAAGAAGCTTTATATCAACACTAGCTGACCCGGCGAACTTTGTTCCGCCTTAATGGCAATAAATAAGCAGACTAGCGTATACACGCTAGTACTGCGCACTTTTTGCTACACATCAGTCTTCTTATTTGGTGTCCAGTAGACCACGCTTGACAGCCTGAGAAACCTTCAATCTTTATAGCTTTTCAATATCAGAACTAGTAATTTTTTCATTTTATCTCGATCATCTAACTTTTTCAATTGGTTTAACTAGCTGCATGTATCTGCTGAGAGGTAATGTGAACAATTGTAGATATTTATTTATGTATTATGTTTCCAGGAAGCCTACCCAGTGAAACTAAAGGAGGTGCACGTCATCAACGTCTCCCCTCTCGTAGACAAGATCGTCAACTTCGTCAAACCCTTCATCAAGGAAAAGATCAGAGACAGAGTAAGTTGTAAAATTATTTTTTAACATAAAAACCATAAAAAATGCATACGACGGCTATAATATACGGCCATGTTATTTAGCCATGATAAATGCGGAAATCGCCGAAAAAAGTAAACACTGAGATATTATTATTTTATAGTCCACCCACAAGGTGGACCGACGACCTCATAAAGGCACCGGTGCTGGATGCAGGCGGCTACCAACCGGGCGATATGGAAACCATTAGGGGAGGCAGCAGTGGACGTCCTGTGGCTGAAATGATGATGATCCACTACTGCAAATAGTTCGATTATAGACCGGCTGAATTTTATTCTTCAACTGCACAATTAATTAGGATCATACCAAAACTATGATACGTCTAAGAAATAGTGAAAAGTACCAGACAAATTAATCTTGTCTTGAATAAGCATCCATTTCCAAGAATATTTAAGCAAAAACATTTCAATTTCAAATATTTCTGCCATATTCATTTAAACTAGCTTTCCACCCGCGGATTCGCCCGCGTGGAATTTTGTCTGTCACAGAAAAACTTTATCGCGCGCGTCCCTGTTTCAAAAACCGGGTTAAAAACTATCTTGTGTCCTTTCCCAGGACTCAAACTATGCCAAATTTCATCAAAATCGGTTCAGTGGTTTAGGCGTGAAAGAGAGACAGACAGAGTTACATTCGCATTTATAATATTAGTATAGATTAATTTGCAATTATTTGCATTAATTTAAATAATTACATTTAATTTTCAACCGACTTCAAAAAAGGAGGAGGTTCTCAATTCGACCCGTATGTTTTTTTTTCTATGTTTGTTACGCGATAACTCCGCCAATTATGAACCGATTTGAACAAATCTTTTTTCGGCGTATAGGTAATACCTCAAGGGTGGTCCCATTTAAATTTAATAATAGAAAAAACAACCCCCAAGGGTGGAAAATTGGGTATGAACTTTTTTATACGCAATATCTCCGCCGATTATAAATCAATTTGAACGATTATTTTTTTGTTGAATAGGTATTATCAAAAGGGTGGTTTCATGCGAATTTGAAGAAAATATTTCACCCCCAAGGGTGGAAAATTGGGGATGAACTTTTTTATATGCAATATTTTTAATTTTCAGTTTTTTTTTGTGTTCACGCATTTGAAGTCGGTTTTTTTTTAAAGTTAATTATGTTCTTTCAGATCTTCCTCCACACTGACACGAATGATCTCTACAAATACGTGCCCAAGGAAATGCTGCCAGCCGAGTACGGCGGCAATGCTGGCCCCATGAATGACCTGCACAGTGAGTATCAACTTGTCTTTTCATGGATTCGAACCTGCGACCGATGATTTCGCAACTGGTACTTTGCCACGTCAACGCTCTATGATTACTGATTTGAATTCATGGGCCTAGATAAGATAAGATATTTATTTATTTGCTTAANGAAGCCGCTGCTATTGGTGAGTTACTAGCTCATTTAACTGCATCTAGGAAGTATTAATAAAGCTAGCTTTAAGTTATTAAATAATTTATTCTGCACAGTTAAGCACGAACTTGCCACTACCTAGGTACGTACCTACAATTTAAATTAAATCGATATTTGTGTACCTACATTTTAGATGAACTTAAGTCAGTATTCAGTGTGATGTAGAGCAGTATTAGATATTTTTGTTCTATTAAAACCATCGCTGCATCGGTTGCTTACATGTAGGAAAGCTTTTTGAATGAAACAAAAATAATGTCTCTCGCCCTCTATTTTCAAGATTATATTATGAAGTCTATAATTAAGTATCTTTAATATTAGGTACCAAGGTGTTGATATAAAATTGAACAGCTTATAATCTACAACTGCCTACCTACTCGTAGAATAAATTAGTTAATTATATCAATTACTGAGAACCAAAAATACGCGACCCCGTTACCTCGATGTTGCATATGATATTACCAACATGTTAAGAAATCTTTTACCAAGAATCAACTTGGCCAAAATAATACGTTCTTATGCAATTCCATCTCTTTCCTCGACGTCAAGTCAAAATACACACGTTGTTCTATTGTTAAATCAATGTTTTGCAGCCATGTACTGTCAGCATCGTATACTTTGTGACACCCAAAGTAGCCAAAAAGTGCGCAACACGTCTTTGTTATAATGTAACAAACTATTTGACGCTGACTGTACTGCCGAGTTTTTTTTTCAGACAGGTCTACACTTACGCCCGTATTCACAAACAATACTATGAGGTCTCACAGTGCGAGTGGACGCATAGGGTGACACGCGAACCAATCACAGAGCTCTATTCAACGCTGTGCGTTCGATTTGCTGCTTCACCTAAGCAAGTATCGTTTGTGAATGCGGGAGTAATGTTTCAGGTGTTATTTCCATCTTTAAAGTTAACTTGACGGCTTTTTGAAGCTTTTTTTAATAAACTTAGATAAGGTCACATTATTTTTCTCATCTTTAGAGTTAGATTTTATGGAGGGTATTGAAGTTTTCAATTTGATAAACTCATTTAACTTAGTTATGGATTTTGGAAGTCGCAAACTCTCGAAAAGCTCAAAATCTTGCTTCGGCAGGTAACTTAAGCTTTGTGCTTTGTAAAAACTTAGGCTGAGTTGCGCCTACATAGTTTGACCGTAACTTTAACGATAACCGGTGTTATTTGTATAGAGTTTGATAGATTTTTGACGTTTGTTAAAGTAAGATGGTGCAATTCAGCCAGTGAAGCTCTACATTACGTAGTAAGTATGTAGGTACTTTTGATTTTTATTTCACACTGTAAGAGCTTTCGCGAAACACGCCGTGTGGTGATGTTGCTTTTTAACAAACATAAGGCCTCCAAAATGTGCGTTTGCGCAAAAACAGCGGACGCATTGAGTAAGCCAAGATAAGAGGCGAGCCATCACCCACCGGCGCGAATTGCTAACACAAAGGTCAATGATGTGTCAGAAATCGTAAAATAAATTCATCGAAAAAAAAAAACAGCCTTACGGCTGTTTTATACATTCAATACTTAATTCACACACAATTTTTTGCCATTTAAGTCAGCTTACTTTAATGGCAAAAACTTAAAAGCCTAGCTAGGCTTTATCTCTATAGAACTTATCTTTTTATCTTCCTATAAAGAACCTACATCTTCCTACGGTATTCTGCAAAGTTTTTGAACTTTATAACTACGGATACCTTTGCTTATTTAAGATATAACACCCAGCCTAATCTTCTGCCTGTTAATAATAAGATAACTTGAAAGCATTAGATACAATTTAAATATCAGAGCAGTTTTTCACGTCGGTTGGTAATACCCACGTCCCACACTATAGAAGAAAAAAAATTAAATAAGTAGGTATTACCCTACCAACTTAAGGCAAACAATTCAAGGATCTATCTACAAGTAAACAAATGACACATTATTATCAAAACCACAAGTGTAACTTGATTTTTCATAAAATTTTATGAATAAATGTTTACGATCACGATTTCACGAGCAACCTTTTATAAAAACATAACAAATTGCACAACAAATAGCACGTTGACAGTGTAAATTAATAAATTAAATAACATTATATAAATTGAAACAGTCATTATGTAGAGCAACATAATGTAAATTTATTGCTACATAACACAGTCTTAAGCTACTCGTATTCTTAGAATCATCGATCGTTATCTCAACACAAATTATATTTAAAAAAAAATATATTTTTACATCGGAAATCAAACGCACGCACCTTTGCCATTTTCACTTATCTTCACTACATAGTAAATATAAAACAAAGTTGCTTTCCGCTGTCTGTCCCATAAGTATGCTTATATCTTTAGAACTACACAACGGATTTTGAAAAAACACATGCATATTATACAAGGTGTTTGGTAAATGGGTATATGAGCCGACACTAGCCCATGTTAACATGGGCATATAAATGGTACATTTTTGAAGTCAGAAATTTGATATCATCATTTTATATTTTTTTAATTTTCATACAAATCGGATTTTATAAAATTTATTTTGTATGAATATAAAATAAAATAAAATGATGATATCAAATTTCTGACTTCACCATACCATTTATATGCCCATGTTAACATGGGCTAGTGTCGGCTCATATACCCATTTACCTAACACCCTGTATTTGAGGAATAAGTGATCGGAAATATTCTTAACTAGCTGTGCTCGCGACTTCGTACGCGTGAAAATAGTTTGAATAATATTTCCCGTCTTTGCAATATTTTCTTTACAATAGCTCCGCCCCTTTTGGCTGTAGGATGATGTAATAAGTACAGCCTAAAGCCTTCCTCGATAAATGGGCTATCGAGGAAGGCTTTAGGCATAAATATAATTTTCCAAATCGGACCAATAGTTCTTGAGATTAGCGCGTTCAAACAAACAAACTCTTCAGCTTATTAATATTAGTAATAGATGTTACGGTTAATGTGATAAATTGAAAATTATTAATAATAACCGGTTATTATGAATAATTCCCGACAGTCGCGGTGAAAGTGATAAATTAATCACATTTAACAGTGATTATTTAATAATTCAACCCATAGAGTTAATAACTCTATGATTCAACCTTAGTACTAACAAATTTCATAAAAGAGAACAACATCTTGTGTACGTGCTCGTGTACAGCCAAACTTTTGAACGTTTTGATATTATCATTATATTAATATAATTTGGCATAATGAGTTTGGAATGTTTCTTGCATAATATTACTTTTCCATGATGCCTATAANTATTAAATAAAAAAATATAAATAAGGCTGTGTTTCTTTCTCTACTAAGCCAACACTTAAGTTTTTTGTACGGATCCGCATCCGCGGATGTGAGCCTCTTAAAATTCGCATCCGCATCCGCATCCGCGGATGTGGAAAAAAGTGGATCCGCAACATCCCTAGATTGAACCAAGGAATCACTTTGTCCCATACAACTTTGCCCCCTTTTTTCACCCCCTTCATTTCGGAAAATCTTTTCTTATGAGATGCCTACGTCATACAAAGAACACACCTTCCAACTTTCAGGTCTCTACGATATCCGTCAGTCATTTAGGACAAAGCATTTTTATTAGTTGTCCAATACTCTATCGTTCCAGGTATGTCATTGACAGGAGGGCGCTACTATCTTAATGGGTTATTCATTAGTCCCAACTTTATGCCACTTGACATTTCAGAATCGTTTGACTTTAGATACCTAAGCGATTTGATATTCGGAGTCTTTTAATGAAATCAAGTTCTGAAATAACTGGAGGTGTTGTACCCGATCAAGCTTTCCATTGCAGGACAGTTAAATAGTTTTATTATTAGTTTCTTCTCTAAGTCTTAATTTGTCAGAGCAGGTAAAGGCTCCATGAGAGCAAAATTTTGTTTTATAAACGCCATCTATCAACATGGGTAAAACGAGGTAAAACATCATATCTAACGGGGGTAAAACGAAGTCGCGGGCGGCCGCTAGTTTATAATAGGTAGCTTTCCCTCCGCAACCTTATTGGTATTCCATGTATGTGTCTTTTAACTGATTTCTGTTAAACATTTCATGTAAAATTTGTCCAGTTATAACTCTATTTACATCTGCATCTGTAAGCAAGGATTCATGTTCTCCAGCCCAGATGCCGAGTAAACAGAATCGTCTTTCAGTGACGTGCAGCTATATTTGACCTAATTTTTTATTATTTATTTGTGTCAGTGTGCTCTTCTAAAGAGTGTAAGACAATTGTATGTAGGTACTATTAAAAAGTAATTTTAACTCATTGGTTTTGTTTCATATTTGAGGAATGTACTATGTATCATGAGTAGATTCTTAGTTTAAAAGGATGCCAACGATTTAAATTTCAATAGGTAGACAAAATTCATAATTATTATTCTTAATTATCAAAAATGTTAGCTTTCTCCAGTAACACTGATATTATTATACTGTGACTCATCAAAGTCATCATTGTCAAAAATATTGACAAATCGCGAACTGTCACGTCCAAAAAACTGACACGCGTCCGTCCTCCGTAAGCGCCACCGCGCGACTGATTGAGATTGTCCAAGCCGTCATGGACGATTTTTTCCACATTTTTTAACATAGTAACTAAATAAGACGCAATATAAAAATTTCATCCGTTAAAAGCCCTCAAGTTATTTCTGAACTTTAGTTTAGTAAAAGATTCAGAATCTCAAATCGCTTATTTTAAAAATAAAACCATAATTAGAAAACGAATAGAGGTAACTTTGGGAATTTATTCTATCGAGTCAACTTCATCAAATCGTGTTTCCATCCGTTAATAGCCCTAGAAAATATCCTCAACTATGCCCAAAAAAAATCTTAGCCTTTAATTTTACTGTTTAGTACCTCAAAAATGAAAAATGAAAACCTCATTTTCACCATTTTCTCTGCTACCCGGCCTTAAAACATGGTACCAATAGGTATGTATGGTCCTAAATGTGTATATCTTCATAAAATAGTCTGTCTGTACACGTTTAGGAAAACGAAACCTTTGAAAATCACTCAGGTGTCTACTATGTTAATTTTCCGAAAATTTGCTACTTACTTGCCATTTACATAAAGTTTTTGCCGACTTCTGTTCCTTAGGGCAAATTAATTTACTTACCTTATGTTTAGAAAATTTTAATTCAACGGGATATTTTTGCTTCTGATTCCACTGTTGCAAGTTCAACTCCGTACTCTCCTCCTATGTTCTTCTGATTAATTTCGTTGAGGGTGCAATGACAGTTTAACTTTCCCCCGGGACAAACTTGACCTTCACTGGTTGGGTTTTTATTAGCGGTCAAGCTGTAGATCCTGGCTACACAGGAGTTGCAGCGGTGGGAACGATAGGTGGGATTAGTCCCATATTGCAACTTCGTTTATTCGTTTCAGCCGAAAGACGTCCACTGCTGGACAAAGGCCTCCCCCAATGATTCCCACAAAGACCGGTCCTGCGCCGCTCGCATCTAGGCACCTCCCGCGACCTTTACTAGGTCGTCGGTCTACGTAATGGGATGCCTACCCACGCTACGTCTTCCGGCAATTATGATTGCAACTTAAAATTTTCATATTATTTCCAGACGCCTGGGTCAAGAAACTAGAAGAGTACAAGGACTGGTTCGCCGAGCACGAGAACATCAAAGCCAACGAGGCCCTCAGGCCAGGCAAGCCGACCAACTACGACGAGCTGTTCGGAATCGACGGTTCCTTCCGTCAGTTAGTCATAGACTAAATAGGTGTAGAAGCGATGGTGCTTACTGAAGATCAAAAACTCAACGGATTTTTTTTTGCTGCAGCGACAAAAGCTGTATTATTTGCAACAGTAGCTTTAAGAAACTTGATTTTTGATGCATCAAGAGTGAAAGAGATAAGCTCAGAGTTGTGTCTCTTTCTCACATGCTTCAATAGAAGGAACTTCTGCTTCTGTTATCATATAAAATTGCTGCATATTCAAAAACAATTACAATAAATTTCATTTGTTTAAACAATTTGTCTAATGTATTGCAATCAAATTGCAGAGAAAATAATGTTAAAGCAAAGTACATAGCATGTTTCTGTATAGAAAAGAATGATTAAGAATTAAAACTCTGGTATAACCGGATCGTTAGATAGCAAAGGTTAGACTTTAAACTCTTTTCAGAAATGTATGGTTCAGATTATCGTATCAAGCAGTTCATCATTGATCTCATATCTTTAGCTCTCTATTCTTCCTTCAAAAAACAGAATTTAGTAAAAAAATGTGTTTAGATTATCACCCAGTGTTGTGACCAAAATATTGAATACCGCGTGTAATTTTTATTAAAATCGTTGGATTGAGTTTTTACCTACCTTGGTTTTAATAATGCACGCCACGTCCCAGTATCCAGAAAATTAGGCAGTTTATATTGTGTGCAAATATATTAGATGTCGCATCTGTTAATAATGTAGTCTATGTTTTACATTATTACATATCGCATGTAATAATTATTGCTACTTTATTTAAACTACCTAGGTAAAATAGCATTCAGTTAAGTCGACTATTTACTACAGTTTTAAGATCTTCAGTTCACCGTTTTATATTTAGATTAAGGCATCTCCCCTTTCGCTTACTCTTAGTTACCGTTATATACTTTGATTAATACATAATACCAATTGTATGTTGTCAACCAAAGGTCTTGCTCAATTATAGTTAATGTATACTTGTGTTGATAATGAATTGGACATGTTTGAAGCTGTTCTGTTTTGAATATGTTAAGCATTTGAATAAATACTTTCTTATGAAATTGTCTGGTTTTATTTACCTGTTTAGATGTAAATATGTCTTTACTTTTGTCTACTCTCTTGAAATGACGCACCACTTATTTTCAGAAATTAAAATGTTTGCCTCTAGAGGTGCAGTTAAAAAGGCTCAGAGACGCAAACACTTAATTTATAATGCTCAAAGATTAGCAAAAATCTACCTACTACCTATAAAATATGTAGAAGTAGGTATTATACGTACAATTTCACATTTATTTTGGAAAAACTTAGCCCGCTAAACACAACTTCGTTGATGCATAATTGCGATTACACGTTGAATTGTTACTTGTATTTTCCAATTTAATGATGATGATGATTATTAGTATTAATATTAATGTTTTAAGTTACAATGTAAGAATCTTAACAATCAATATGGCTATTAATACTCGTAGTACGTAGAAGGCTACAAAAACTAGCCCTGTTCCTTGGAAATGCTTCATCATCATCATCATCATCATTTAGCCATTGATTTAGCCATAAGACGTCCACTGCTGAACACAGGCCTCCCTAATGATTTCTAGAGTTGGCAGCCTTCTTGAATCCTAGAAGTGCATAATAAAATATCAAGTAAACAGAAACCTATACATTGTTTTTAATGTAAATCTTAAATTAATTAAGAAATTGACAATAAGTTACGTTTGTTTCATAGGTTGCTTTTGATTTGAAAGATGCTAAAACTGTTGTTTTGTTGCTAAAACTGTGCACACCGTTGATTTTTAGTTCGCCGATAGTTGTGCCCGATTTTAAATTGTATGAAGAATCGGCCAAATCGAATCGGCGTAGTGTGCGCACTCCCATACATGCCCATACTGATCAACTGCCCGACTAAACTATCGGCCGACGAAAAGTGTGTGTGTGTAAAAACGGTGTGCGCGTACTCTAAAAGTAACACTACGCAATAAGTAGCTGACAATACTCATAAATAGTCAATCAATAAACCAATGAAAACTAGAATTTTCTATTAAAACTACGCACCTGAACGTGATGTTAAATACATGTAACTACAATTAGCCATGCCGATTACTATCGCAAGCGGTAAGTAGACCGAAGATCCAGTTTGACGAAATAGCGAAAAAACTGGGCAAGAACGACTTGGAATAATGCAGAAGGGTTCCGTGAAGTTAGGTACTGTATAAGTGAAAATGGTGCAAATAAAAATTGACTCAAAGAGATATTGAACTCTGTAACTTTAACGTTTCCTTATTTTGCAATTAAAGATGTTATTTAGGCTTTGTTATAGGTCCTCTATAGGATGTTTGTCTGTAAATTGAATCAATTTTGATAATTTTGGGTAAAAATCTAAAGTGATAAAAAGACTAAGGGTATAATATTTTATACAACTGTCTCGTATGAAAAGAAAAGAGGATGCCACTGAGTAAGTATCTTACGCAAGTGGAACTTCTTCTCAGAACTCTATCACCCGTATTCACAAAGGATGCTTGCTTAAATGAAGCAGCAAATCGAACGCACAGCGTTGAATAGAGCTCCGTGATTGGTTCGTGTGTCACCCTGTGCGTCCACGCGCACTATGAGACCTCATAGTAATGTTTGTGAATACGGGCGTATGTATCATATACAAGTGTAACTTCTTCTCAGAACTCTACCAAACTATCCTACGAAACAGTACCTGCTTAATGTAGGTCAGTGTCACTAGCAAAATTTTACTGGAACGTGATTAATAAATAGAGATTTTAAGAGCCTAAAAAAAAGAGTTTTTATAATTATCCAATACGTTAGCGGAACCCTAAAATGAATTAAAAAACTAATACTTACACCAATTCTTGGGCGGTGGCGTGCAAAACGCGATTATAGGTTTTTTTTCTCCTTTTTTGAAACTACTGAAGTTACGTCAAAAGTATTGTAACGACCATGAAATACGTAACAAAATTCGATAGATGGATGTTACATAACACTATTATATACCTAGCTTCTTTTTCTTAAAAATCACAACAATGGATCGACATTGGTACCTATTTATTTCATTTGTATTACGAAATCTGAATGTAATAATTTACAATATGCTTTATTCTAGGACATTATAACATTAATTTTGCTAAAATGTTTTGTTGCATAATTATGCATAATTAATTTAGCGACATCAACCCGTTACCTACAGAAAGTGTAAAAATTATAAGTTACTTATTTATAAATGAACGATATTGAAAATCCTGCCAACAATACAAAAATACTTGTACTACATGAAAAAAGTAACTACATATATAGATATTAAACGTGAATTTCAATACAATTTGAAATTAACAAACTTTCGGTCTCTTCTACTCTAGATTTTAGCTCTTTTTGCCCTTTCTTCGAAACTGTTCATTTAATTATTAACACTGCTTATTTAATTTTTATTAACAAAATAAATATTGTTCAAGAACAGGCAGGATGTTCACATTATGTATCCTTCTGCCTTCTTTTATGGCACCCACGAGAAGAATGAATAATTATGGTTGTATGTATACTTTGCCGGAACCACCCGTCTTGCTTTGGGAGTGTACTTACTAACTTACTACTTATCTGGTAAATTAGATAGGGTCGTGCTCCTGTAGTGATCCCAACTAATATTATAAATGCGAAAGTAACTCTGTCTGTCTGTCTGTCTGTCTGTCTGTCTGTCTGTCTGTCTGTCTGTCTGTTACGCTTTCCCGCTTAAACCTCGCAACCGATTTTGATGAAATTTGGCATAGAGATAGTTTGAGTCCCGGGAAAGAACATAGGATAGTTTNGTAGTGATACTAAACAAGATGTTGTTCTTTGAAAATTTTAATAAGAATATTGTTTTTACTAAAACATAATTGCCACTACTTAAAAATTTACGACGCTGCAGCTGTCTCCTAGCCTAGCTCATCCAGTAAAAGTTTTTGTCACGGCAAGGTCGCTTGCGAGATGACATTACTCTGGCTCTCAGTCCGTCGCTCTGCACTCGCGTTTAGATAAAGATCTGCAAATCTCTAAATAAATCAGTAAAAATTTCGCACGCTATCCCCTAGCCTAGCTCATCCAGTAAAAATTTGCACGCTGTCCCCTAGCCTAGCTCATCCAGTAAAAGTTTTTGTCACGGCAAGGTCGCTTGCGAGATGACATTACTCTGGCTCTAGTGGCTCTCAGTCCGTCGCTGTGCGCACGCGTCGCTTGCGGAAGTCAGGAAGTGGTGAGTTGCATTTGAATTTGAATTTGTGGAAATTCAATTTTATTTATGGAAAATTTTCCGTCAGTGTACTTGTACTCGTAAGTGATTTACGAGGGTTTATTCTGTTGATTGAATTCAGATTATTTTGATTATCTTGAAAAATTGTTTTAATAATAAAGTTATCACTGTATTTTGAGTTCTGTGGTTTTCTGAATGAAGAAAAATTAGATAAAATAATTTTGTAAATGCGAAAGTCACTCTGTCCGTTTGTTAATTGTTATATTAAAGGGATATCAAAACGTAAATTATCTCTATTGTTTGGTAATCCATTAACTTTAACATTTGGCTTTAGAAACTAAGCATTCATAAATGAAATTCATTTTCCTAAATGAAAGAGAGCTTAGATAAATTATACGAATATCTGAGAAAAACGAATTGCCATAACAGTGGTTTTTCATCATAATAGATTAATGTACTAAGTAGTACATAAAGTTGATGAATGATAAAGCTATTGTACTGTATACCTACATCATTATTTTTAAGTATTTGTTACTTTGTGTGTGAGAGACTAGAGCCTGAGGTGAGGTGAGTCCATAGAAACCCATATAGGTCTCGAAATTAGGATATTTTGATTTAGCGGCGTTAAAAATCATCATTTGTTTATCTATTAAGCAGTCAAAATTCGGTACTCCAAACTTTATTTTTTCGAAGTCAAAAGTTTAGGTACATGGAGATAATTATTATCCTTTTGGCATTAAGTTTCTTCCTTCTTGAAAACTTAATTACACAGAAAAAATATTTAATATTAATTACGTTTTGAAGATTGTTTTATATTGTTTTAGTTATCTTCCTCAATTATTTTAATTCAGACAACGTATTGTGACTTTAATTGTTACTGAACCTGGTGGAAATAGAAGTGCCAATCCGTAATTAAATAAATAAATAAATAACGGTACACAATTACTGAAGAGTTACTTCTCTGTTTACATATTGATGGAAATAGAAGTGTCAATCCGTAATTAACGGACTTCTCTGTTTACATAATTATATAAGTTCTTTTGTTCCTACTTCTTTATGTTGTTGTACTTAACGTAATGCAAAATGTTGAGATTATACAGGGTGTTAGGTAAATGGGTATATGGGCCGATACTAGCCCATGTTAACATGGTCATATAAATGGTATGGTGAAGTCAGAAAATTGATATCTTCATTTTAATTATTTTATTTTTCATACAAATAGGATTTTATAAAATTTGTTTTGTATGAAAATTAAGAAAATTAATATGATGATATCAAATTTCTGACTTCACCATACCATTTATATGCCCATGTTAACATGGGCTAGTATCGGCTCATATACCTATTTACCTAACACCCTGTATACAATGGTACGGGGCCATAGACGTATTTTGGTTGAAAACATCGCCATGGCAAAGCTTATGTGAACAATTCTTGAAACCTAAAGATTGTTGACGTTTGCATATTAATAACTAATTACAAAGTGTAAAACCACATATTATGTAGGTATGGAACGAGCGTGGAACAAAAACACTTAGGTAAATTAGATTTTGAAAGCTTTAAACTTTTCAAAAATACGTCTCCACGTCGGGGGCAGTGCCCTCTCGTTTATTCTCTACCTAAGTACGTACAGGGCACTGCTTTTATGAAAACACCTTTATACCACTAATGTGGATAAATAACATGTTTCGCAGAATACAGCGACCCCTCGACCCTCGCTTGACAGGCGAACTACAACAGAATAATAATGGTTTACTTGAAATGTTGCAAAAAATATGAAGCGGCAACTGCAAATTATGACAATAGCTTCAAAATTAATAACAATTTCAAACCATTTATTTTTCCAAATTAAGTGTACATGTACCTAACTGCATTGTATTACATGTTAACTCATGAAAATTAATAGGTATGTACCTACAGTCTAAGATCAGAATTAATACTCACACGTTTGTCGCAAAGTAACATCTATAGGTACCTACTATCTATATCTATAGTATATAGGTAACTCTGTCTGTCTGTCTGTCTTGCTTTCACGCCTAAACCACTGAACCGATTTTGATGAAACATAGAGATAGGAATAGGAAAGGACATAGGATAGTTTTTATCCCGGTTTTTGAAACAGGGACGCACGCTATAAAGTTTTTCTGTGATAGACAAAATTCCACGCGGGCGAAGCCACGGGCGGAAAGCTAGTCTTATATAAAATACGATGTCTAGATGGATTTTCCTAACCCGAAGTTACAACAATAATAGGATATTTTATAGAAAGAATAAACCTTTAAAATATAGAGTAGATGACCCCAAAAATGATAGTTTGTCAATTACAAGTTACATCTGCTACCGTATTTAACTCGAAGAATTATTCAAACTTAGTAAACAATATCTCACTTCGGCACAACCTATCTAATATTTCGTAACTAGTATTTGTAATACCAACATTCATCAAAATTAACACCGTTTAAACTTAAAAACTTAACAATCAAACAAAAGTGCTTTCTAATTTGCGATATTAGTATAGACTCTAATACCTGACCTTCGATATTGACCGACAACTAAACTCGTGTGGTTATACTCGTTCATTTCTATTGCCACACAGCCAGGTTTCCCAATAGCCAAGTCCGGTGTTGGGCAGCCCATTTAGTCCACCTTGGCCTGATATTGCTCGGCCAAGTCAAGAGCCCAATAGAAGGGTCGATTAAACATAATAGAAACTAGAAAATAAGAAATACCGGAAGACAGGGAAAAATGGGGCGTATTGGAGACTATCGCCCGTATTCACAAATATTACTATGAGGTCTCACAGAGCGCGTGGACTCACAGGGTGACATAATAATATGAATCAATCACAGAGCTCTATATTATTCAACGCTGTGCGTTCGATTTACCGCTTCACTTAAGCAAGCATCGTTTGTGAATACGGACGTATGTCCAATATGTTGATTATGATAACTAAATCGATTTCTTCTAGACAATCAATAACTTATAACCATCACCTTTACAATAGTGACTGTCTTTTATATGGACAAATTGAAATTGATAATACTAAAAAGTAGTTTCAATAAATTCTTAAAAACATGAAAAATTGAATTTAAAAATGGCTCCCTTTCAGAGGGGTGGGAGTGACCCCTCTCTAAATTTTTTTTTTTCGAAGTTTAACAAATAACACGTGGATATAAAGCATCAGATGAAGACCGACATGAAATATACTGTACTAGCTTTCCGCCCGCGGCTTCGCACGCATGAAATTTCGTTTGTCACAGATCGTCATAAATTATAGCCTATATGTTATTCTGGGTTATGAACAATAATACTATAAAGTTTCATCAAAATCCGTTCAGTGGTTTTTGAGCCTATTCATTACAAACATACAAAAATAGGTACAAATCTTTCCTCTTTATAATATTAGTATAGATATAGATAAAAATGTTATACCTATGTCTGAAACTGAACAATGGTACACCATAAATAAACCATAACAAACAGTCCGCTGGCCGCTATATCAGCTATACTACTTATTTATAGAGCATTACCTAAATTGACCCTGACGGGAATCGAACTCTAACCCCTATACTTCAACCAGTCAACTGCTCTACTACTCCATTGGGCCGTTACCAATGATGGATGCAGTATGTCGGTTTGTATATCATACTCAAACATAAGACCTTGACATGCTATACCCGCGGAGCCCCCACTTTGGAGATATTATGTATTGCAAAACTGACATCTCCGACTCTACCTTGACTTACAACATTTTGTGGTTTAGTAAACAGTATATTTATGTGTACATATTAAAGTATAATCACAGGTATAAATGGTATAATGTACTAGTAGTAATGTGAATGTCTAATGCAATCATATTGCTAGAGTTTGAAGTTTTTGAGAGAGTTGAAAGTCATAAGTTCGAAAGAAAAATCATTTTATGTATTTTACTTCGGAGGGCTCATAAAACCAGGGGGCCATTGTAAAAACATATAAAAAAAAGCAAAATAAACTTAAAATATAAATTTTTCAGTACTTTTATCGCAGAGCTCAATATATTAAGAGAATTTTAAAGACAGGTAATAAAATGGATATACATTTCAAATTTATCATAATTGGTTCAGCTATTTAGCGGTGAAGAGGTTACATACAACAGACCAGAATGACTTTCGCAAGTAGGTACTTACTTATAATATTAAGATGGATGAATGCTCGAATTTCACAATGAAGTGATAGTTCAAAACTACAAATAATCTCATACCACAGAATAAGTAATAGTACCAAGCTCATATTAAGTAGGTAAGTGTGAGGTAACATTTTTTAATTATAAAATGGATGTGATAAATCCATGACAAGTGTTTTTAGACAAGTATAGTCGCACTATAAGTGTATAAATGGACCGTATTATATACAATTAAAGCAATCACCGTGTACCTACATACTCGTAAGTACATGGAAGTTTTTTAATAAACATTATCCATAATTTTCCTACGCTATCTGGTGACTTTAATAGTCATAAATAATAATACTCATTGTAATAAACAATGTAGGTACTAATACATTGTCATAGATACTTGACTTTACTATAGCTAGAGATCGTAGCTTATCAGGAGTCACAATTAAGGGGAATGAGAGGTAGTAGGACTAGCCCCGAGATACCTGACGAAATATATATTATTTGTGGCTCTTTTAAGCCTGCAATTATTCGTTTCAGTCAAAAGACGTCCACAGCTGAACAAAGGCCTTCTCAAAAGATTTTCACAACGACCGATCCTGAGCTGCCCGCATTCAGTTGCTTCCCGCGACCTTCACCTGATCGTCAAGCCTGCAATACTATATCGCAATTGGGCATTATATTCCAACTGGTCATGACCAGTCAGTCCATCAAATAACCATTAGTTTATGTAACAAACGCATTTTCTGTGATGCAAATATCTGGAATTTTACCTCAGAGTCTCGCAATAAAGTTAAAAATAAAGGAACGTGCGTTATGGCATCAATTCACCTTTTGTACTATTATTTGTTCTATGCAATAAGGTTGAAACATAAACCAGCTCTTAAAGGTGGGAGAATTGATTTGATTTGATTTGATTTGATTTGATTTGATTTGATTTGATTTGATTTGATTTGATTTGATTTGATTTGATTTGATTTGATTTGATTTGATTTGATTTGATTTGATTTGATTTGATTTGATTTGATTTGATTTGATTTGATTTGATTTGATTTGATTTGATTTGATTTGATTTGATTTGATTTGATTTGATTTGATTTGATTTGATTTGATTTGATTTGATTTGATTTGATTTGATTTGANCCTGAGGTAGGTCCATAGAAACCCATATAGGTCTCGAAATTAGGATATTTTGATTTAGCGGCGTTAAAAATCATCATTTGTTTATCTATTAAACAGTCAAAATTCGGTACTCAAAACTTTATTTTTTCGTAGTCAAAAGTTTACATGGAGATAATTATTATCCTTTTGGCATTAAGTTTCTTCCTTCTTGAAAACTTAATTACACAGGAAAATCATTTAATATTAATTACGTTTTGAAGATTGTTTTATATTGTTTTAGTTATCTTCCTCAATTAATATAATAATTCAGAACGATTATGTTCTCGTATTTATGTTTTCAGATCCCAAGTTAAGATTATTTCATGTAATAAAATAAAATAATAGTGTTTATAATTAAGGCTTCCGTGATCTAGTGACTAAAGGATTTATCTGTTTCGTTAGAAAAGTCCTAGGTTCAATTCCCAGCTGAGACCTTAAAAAAAGCTGTTATAGTGAAAACTTTTTTGTGATGCCAGTTTCATTAGCTACCATATTGAAATTCGATAAAAATGTAGTTTCGTTCTTTGGGGGCAGTGCCCTCCCGTTTATTCTCTACCTAAGTACGTACGGGGCACTGCTTTTATAAATACACCCTTATACCACTAAATGTGGATAAATAACATGTCTCGCAGAATACAGCGAACCCTCGACCCTCGCTTGACAGGCGAACTACAACAGAATAATAATGGTTTACTTGAAACATGTTGCAAAAAATATGAAGCGGCAACTGCAAATTATGACAATAGCTTCAAAATTAATAACAATTTCAAACCATTTATTTTTCCAAATTAAGCGTACATGTACTTACCTAATTGCATTGTATTACATGTTAACTCATGAAAATTAATATGTACCTACAGTCTAAGATCAGAATTAATACTCACACGTTTGTCGCAAAGTAACATCTATAGGTACCTACTATCTATATCTAATAGTAGGTAACTCTGTCTGGCTGTCTGTCTTGCTTTCACGCCTAAACCACTGAACCGATTTTGATGAAACTTAGAGATAGAAATAGGAAAGGACATAGGATAGTTCTTATCCCGGTTTTTGAAACAGGGACGCACGCTATAAAGTTTTTCTGTGATAGACAAAATACCACGCGAGCGAAGCCGCGGGCGGAAAGCTAGTCTAATATAAAATACGATGTCAGATGGATTTTCCTACCCAGAAGTTAACAACAATAATAGGATATTTTATAAAATGAATAAACCTTTAAAACATACATAAAGTAGATGACCCCAAAGACGATTGTAGTTTAATAATTACAAGTTACATCTGCTACCGTATTTAACTCGAAGAATTATTCAAACTTAGTAAACTTACAATTATATCACTTCGGCACAACCTATCTAATATTTCGTAACTAGTATTTGTAATACCATCATCAAAATTAACACCGTTTAAACTTAAATACTTAACAATCAAACAAAAGTGCTTTCGAATTTGTGATATTAGTATAGATTCTAATACCTGACCTTCGATATTGACCGACAACTAAACTCGCGTGGTTATACTCGTTCATTTCTATTGCCACACAGCCAGGTTTCCCAATAGCCAAGTCCGGTGTTGGGCAGCCCATTTAGTCCACCTTGGCCTGATATTGCTCGGCCAAGTCAAGAGCCCAATAGAAGGGTCGATTAAACATAATAGAAACTAGAAAATAAGAAATACCGGAAGACAGGGTAAGATGGCGCTTAGGTATGGAAGACTTTACGTCCAGCTATGGACTGTTGTCACTGTTGCTATAAGGTTAATGATGATAAGCATAAATAGAGGACGAATAAATTAGTTAATTTAAATAATAAAGAATCAGGCTAGAAAAAATATAGTCCGAATCGGAATCGTCCATCTAATTTAAAAAATCAGAATAAAAATACTTTATTTGTCAATAGTCAATATTATTATCTGTAATTGTTTGTCTCTAAGTTGTTTGTGGACTAATTAAATTAGTACCTTCGAAATTTTGCCCATAGAGAGCCTACAATGATTGTCTCATAATTTTTTGCCCCTCCAGCGCTTCGAGACAAACATTAAGCAAGTGTTGAGAAGAAGCACCGCAACAAACTAAATAAATAGTTTGTGTCCAAATCTAGCGCGTTATCAAAATTATACGGGAATCGAACCCAAACCTCTTGCGCTTAAGGCAGTGGTCTGCGCTACTCTACTTATTGAGCCGTTACCAATGATGGATGCAGTATGTCGGTCTGTATATCATACTCAAACAAAGACCTTGACATGCTATACCCGCGGAGCCCCCACTTTGGAGATATTATGTATTGCAAAACTGACATCTCCGACTCTACCTTGACTTACAACATTTTGTGGTTTAGTAAACAGTATATTTATGTGTACATATTAAAGTATAATCACTGGTATAATGTAGTAATGTGTCTAACGCAGTCATATTATGGCTTAATGGTTAGACAGTTTAACGCTCTTGAGCAGAGGCGGGGCAAGACCTAAATTTGATGTGGGCAAGACAGATTTCGCGAGGCCTTGTTCTGTGGCGACCTGAAGACGGATTTTATGAAATAATAAAAAAAGGGTCAAGGGTCTATACATTGACAATTTNCACCCCGCACTGTATAGATGAGCCACGCTGAACTGTCCCGCCAAACTCAATGACAGGGGGGCGCTACCATCGTTCAACTATATGGTTTCCAACATGGCAAAAATCTGAACCAGCGATCCGGTATTGACGGTGGCGCCCCACTGTCAATGTCATCGACAGGACAGTCCAGTATTTTGGAACTATACATATTTTGTTCGCGATGTCTGTTCTATACGTAGTAATATTACTTCAATGGCCATAAATATGTTTAATAATAGACTTCATACATTGTCAGTTGTATGAATACAGTGCCACAAATTGGCTATTAATTAATTATGACGTATGAATCACTATTACTCACGGATAAAACTTAAATTGCCTTTAATAACATTGTCAAATAGCAAATAAACTTTATCAAAATAAATGTTATGTCTTCATGGGTTATTGCAGGACTTGCCTACATATCTATACTAATATTATAAAGCTGAAGAGTTTGTTTGTTTGTTAACTTGAACGCGCTAATCTCCGGAACTACTGGTCCGATTTGAAAAATTATTTCAGTGTTAGATAGCCTATTTATCGAGGAAGGCTATAGGCTATACAACATCACGCTACGATAGGAGCAGAGCAAAAATTAAAAACGTTGCGAAAACGGGTTTTCACGTGTGCGAAGTCGCGGGCACAGCTAGTTACTTTAATAAATACTTTTCTTTCTTTCTTTCTTTCTTCTTTCTTTCTAATATAGCTAGAGATCGTGGCTTAGGCTATGTCACAAATAAGGGGAATGTAATTAGGCCTGAGATACCTGCCAAAATTTATATTATTTGTGGCTCTTTTGGCCTGCCTTTTCGTGGGCAGCTGCAATTGTTCGTTTCAGTCAAATGACGTCCACCGCTGGACTAAGGCCTTCTCCAAAGGATTTTGACAACGATCGGTCCTGCGCTGCCCGCATTCAGTTGCTTCCTGCGACCTTCACCAGATCGTCACCTGCAATACTATATCGCAATTGGGCATTATTTTCCAACTGGTCATGACCAGTCAGTCCATCAAATAACCATTAGTTTATGTAACAAACCCATTTTCTTTGATGCAAATATCTGGAATTTTACCTCAGAGTCTCGCAATAAAGTTACAAATAAAGGAACGTGCGTTATGGCTTTTCACCTTTTGTACTATTATTTCTTCTATGCAATAAGGTCGAAACATAAACCAGCTCTTAAAGGTGGGAGAAAGGCGCTGGATGCAGGCCACTACCAAACGGTCAATATTAAAATCATTGGGGGAGGCCTATGTTCGTCCTATGGCTGAAATGATGATGATAAACTAGCTTAATTATTTAAGCGGCTCGTATAGCCACAATAGTTTCGAAAATTAACTTAGCGACTAAATTACTTGAAAAGCATTAATCTTTATAATGTAATTCACAGATCTTTCAGTTCAAAATGTCAGCAGCAATCTTAGTGCAGCCTACGGGTGAGATGTGGAAGAAGATCCGCGTCGAACTCAATGAAGACGTCAACACAAGGGACAGTGACCTGGCAGCCATTAAGGAGTGGCTGAGGACCACGCCGCACCTGCCAGATGAGTGGGGTAAGAGCATTGAAGATCCTCTTCTATCTGTTTAACAATACGGTCGAAAAGGGCTTGGCAACCATAAAACTAAGGGCTGGTCATTTGAAGATCCTATAACAACCAATAAGATCCGCGTCGAACTCAATGAAGAGGTCAACACAAGGGACAGCGACTTGGCAGCCATTAAGGAGTGGCTGAGGAAGCAGCCGCATCTGCCTGATGAGTGGGGTACGATGAACATTAAGATCTAAGTACGTTTTATTCAACACAGGCAAACGTAGGACTTGGCAGCCATCTAGAAGTAACGGCACCTTTTTTTTCGTCGGGAAATGCTTTGCGCATACCTACTGGTCGATGGGGACGGCCAGTGGGTTATGTGGGACTCTCTCCGCCTACCCACTAAAACCCGATAAGATAAGATAAGATAAGATAAGATAAATTTATTGAATAAAGACTTAGCCTAAATACAAGAAACTTAAATGGGGCTATGAAATTATTTGATGGTTTCCACCAGAGCCCAAAGAAACGAAACCGCGAGTATTGTCCTAGTTGGACATTCGTCCGCAGCTCCGTCTCAGGCTAGAGTCTCTCCGGCTTTAAGAGAACCCCCAATCCCCTCCTCCCGTTGTTTTTATAGAGGTTAGAAGAAAGGCACCTACCTTCAGTCTCAGTGACAACTGACAAGGAAACAGCTTCTAGGAACAAATTTTACTTAAGTTACTGACTTCACCCTTAAAATATTTACTGATATTCTCACGTTTACAACTTAATTTTACTTTTCAGATAACCAACGCCTCATGACCTTCCTCCGAGGCTGCAACTTTTCCCTGGAGAAGTGTAAGAGGAAGCTGGACATGTACTTCACGATGCGAGCAGCTTGTCCGGAGTTCTTCACCAACAGAGACATCACCAGGCCCGAGCTGCATGATCTGATGATCCGTGGGTAAGAACCTTAACTTCGTTGCGGGTCCAATGACAGTTCAACTTTCCCCCGGGAGAAACTTGACCTTCACTGGTTGGGTTTTTATTGGCGGTCAAGCTGCGGATCCTGGCTACACAGGAGTTCAGCGGTGGGAACAAGAGTTGGGAATAGTCCCGAAAAAAAATGAATCAGACAACGCATTAATTGCCATACCACTTTTTCATCATTCATAACATAATTTCAGGCAGGGGCCAGCATTGCCCGGGCTCACACCTGATGGCCGAAGAGTTATCATTGCCAGAGGTAAGAGAATAACTGTGTTTATTTTTACCTATGAGTATCTGTGAACTGAGTTTATTGAGGTAGAAATTATCTACTAATTGTCACTTATTTTCGAAAAACCTTAAAGCCCAGATTCTTGCCTTATTTTTTCTTTCAAAGTATTTTACTAATTCAACCTTAAGTTTTTTTTTATCCCGATCAACGTGGATGTGGAAGACATGCAACCACAGCATGATCTTTAAAAAGAAATCATACTATTATCTAAATAAGGCAGGCAACGCATGATTGTAGACTTGTAGATATCAATGGGTGGTGATGATTGCTTACCATAAGTTCACCTCTCATATTATAAAACATTCCAGGTCTCGACAAAGGCCTCGACACGCACCAGTTAAACGACGCCTTCAAGATCGCCATGATGATAGGAGATGTCAGACTGAAGGAGGAGATCGAGGGTGTGGCTGGAGACATCTACATCCTGGACGCATCCGTCGTCACACCCAGTCATTTGGGCAAGCTGTCGTTACCATCTTTGAAGAAGTTCTTCATCTGCATTCAGGTAATTTTTTTTCGCTTGTTGCAAGATGGATTTCTATTTAAATGTGTGACGTCAGACCGAAGGAGGAGATCTAGGGTGTGACTGGAGTCATCTAGCTATATCCTGGATGCGTCTATCGTCATGCCCAGTCATTTGGGCAAGCTGTCGTTACCGTCTTTGAAGAAGTTCCTCATCTGCGTTCAGGTATTTCTTTAACTTCTTCGAACTCCTCATATGTTCTTCCGATTCATTTTGCCAGTTTAACATTCCCCAGGGACAAACTTGACCTTCACTAGTTAGGTTTTTATTCGCGGACAAGCTGTAGATCCTAGGTTTACAGGGAACGGCAGGTGCCAATGGACCCGTTCTTATTAAACTTTCAGATGGCATCATTTTTCCCGGACCCTTTCATGGGTTTCACAGAATTAGGTGCTTACATACTTACATGATATTAGATGAGTTCCCATAAAGTCTATGAGAGAAAATATCGTTTTTTGTTAAATATTTTTCCGTATAAACGGCTAGGAGGCATATTATTATTCCCAGACATTTCAAGACCTTTTAATATTATGGTACACAATACGTCGTGCAACCTGTTTTATTATCACCACTCAATATTTTTACCTTCCCAATAAAAAAAAACCTGCTGAAAACCACTGTCTTAACTTTTCAGGAAGCCTACCCAGTAAAGTTGAAGCAAATTCACGTCGTGAATGCTTCTCCCATCATCGACACCGTCGTGGGCATCGTCAAACCTTTCCTCAAAGAAAAAATAAGGAACAGAGTAAGATTTTTTATAATCTAAACCTTTTTGTAGCTGCATATTAGTTATGATGTTTAACATCATCATCATTTCAGCCATAGGACATCCAATGCTGAACTTAGACCTCAATTATTTCCATAAAGCTCGGTTGGTAGCGGCCTGCATCTAGAGCCTTCCTGCTACCTTTATGAGCTCAGATTAGACGTATGTACTTTTTGGACAACCAGTAAAGGTTGTATGGCTTGTCTCCTTAGAATTAGATATACATTTTTGTAATGTGGTTACCTTAGTTAGACCATCTAATAAAGTTTACGCTAATTCCCATTTTTATTTTCGTTTTCGTTTGAGTAATAAATAACGTTTACGACAAGTTGTTATTGGCATATAGTAAAGTTACGAAAACAAACAGTGACTCAGAAATATTTGGCTACCAAATAATGTTCAGTATTTTTCACATTAATCTCCTTTTTTTCAGATCTTCATACACACAGATCTGACAACCCTTTACGAGCACGTACCAAAGGAAATTCTGCCAGAGGAATACGGCGGTGACGCTGGTCCCATGGATGTTTACAACAGTAAGATCTTTAATACCTTAACTCATCATCATCATCATCATTGCAGCCATAGGACGTCCACTGCTGAACATAGGCCTCCCCCAATGCTTTCCATGTTGCCCGGTTGGTAGCGGCCTGCGTCCATAACTGTATTATGTGAATTAAAATTTTGAAGCGGGCGAGCCATCTCGGCCAAAATGCTAACACCGCAGGATTTCCTGGACGTCATGAGGGATCTGAGAGATATAACATGTATGTATTATCAGACGTTTTTGATTAGATTTGATTTCATTTGATTTGACGTCAAATAGTAAAAGGAACGTCTTATGAAATTGTAAGAGAAGGCTATTCTGCAACAAAAATGTAGTCTGGTGAGATGACTGAACAGTTAACATCAAAAGATTTTTATAATAATTATGTACTATAAAACATGCTGAATCTAAATAATAATACATAATAGTATTTAAAAGTTGATTGTACAACGACATTTTGGCCTTGAAAGGAAATGAGCACAAGGTCAGGCAAGTTTATTACCAAACTAATGAATAAATAAGCTAATTTTCTTTGGAGATGCTAAAGACAAAATTTGGCATTCTATTTAATGCAAATGTAATCTAAAAAGTAGTGTACGAGTATTTTGTTTATAATGAGTTAACGATTCAAACTTGCAGTTTAGTGATAAAGCTACATACATTATCATACCTTCTTCTTATTAAAATTTTGGAGCGACGAGTTTTTGCCTAATGAGTTTAAGGATTTAATGGCCAATGGCTAAGTAGTTCAGAGGTCAGAACAATCGCCCAGCAAGCAGAGGTTCGAATTCTACCTTAGGCAACTATAATTTTTAAAATAATGACAGTTCTTCCAATTACTATGATAATTTTAATAAAATATGATAATTTCGTAATTCCAGAGGCTTGGCAGAAGAAGCTGGAAGAGTACAAGGACTGGTTCCTAGAGCAAGAGTCGGTAAAGGCTAACGAAGCCCTCAGACCTGGGAAGCCGACCAACTACGATGAGCTGTTTGGAATCGACGGGTCTTTTAGACAGCTGTCCATAGACTAAATTTAGAATAACTAATTCTATTCGTACGTAGTGACAAGGCTTAAGCACGTATTCTGAAAAGACGCTCAACTGGAAACCAGATTTAAAAACTGTCAGAGACAAAAATGAGTTCGTATAATCCAACAGTGTTAGTCGGACTCGGGACTATTCCCGCGTTCCCATTGCTGCAACTCCTGTGTAGCCAGGATCTACAGCTTGACAGCCAATAAAACCCAACCAGTGAAGGTCAAGTTTGTTCCGGGGAAAAGTTAAAATGTTATTGGACTTGCAACGAAATTAATCAGAATAACATGAGGAGTTCGAAGTGAAGGTTCGACTTCTTTCCAATGCAAAGCGGATGATAGGTGATAAAACAACGGATTAGTGCGACTACCAATTCAAGGATTAGTTTAGGTGACTGATGCCCGTTTTCACCATCAATACCTAATGTTCAAGTGACCCCTATGAAAACAAAATTCCTGTTAAATGTTACCATAGGGGTCACTTAAAAATTAGGAATTGATGGTGAAAACGGGCATGAGTTTAGGATTTATTTGAGAATTTCGCAGTCTTGAGTCTAGATTCATGTTTGAGTGTCATTTCAAAATACGGGCCTCAGGCAATTTTAGTTTTAAGAAGGTACTACACGGTTTTTGGTGTGTATTGATATAGAAAATAATCAAAACTGTCTAGAAGAAAGAATCGATAAGAACATTACTCCTTGAATTAACCTACAAAAGCCATTAAAACCTTCATTTCACTTTATCTACACTTTAGACCATAACGCCTACAAATATTTTCTATGCAATGTCCATCAGTGATGATTTTTAAACCCAGATTTTAATTTAAAGTAAGTTCTGTTTATTAATTCTTTTAGATTTATTTCTTTCTAGATTGTTCTACCAAAACAAAACAAAGCGTTAGGTAGATTAAGATTTGGTTTAGACTTAAGTAAGCTCATACAATGTTTGGGTGCTTATTGTGATATTTTTATACTTTGATTTAAATAAAATAGTTTAACTTAATACGTTTGGTTTCAATGGTTACCTACTAGACCTTATAATAGTGCCTAAATAATCAAAAACATACCTACGTAGGTATTTATAATTAGGGCATTAATAAGATTATGTAGGTATAGTACCGTGATATATGAAATAAGGGTTTCTTGTCAGGACTACGGAACCCTAAAAAGGGAGCGTTAATTTTTAACAATGACAGTTTCATTGTCATTGTGTACACTCCTACTTTCAATTATACATTGGCTAAAGCGTTACCTACTTGAAATGCTGTGTGTTTGGCGGTATGTCAATAATTTGAAATATTTATTTGATAAGTAAGATAAGATCAGAACTGACAGCCGATGGGGCAGCAAGGTTCTGGAGTGGAGGCCGCGTACCGGAAAACGCAGCGTGAGACATCCACCCACGAGGTGGACCGCCGACATCGGAAAAGTAGCAGGAAGGCGCTGTACGCAGGCCGCTACCAACCGGGAAAAATGGAAAACATTTGGGGAGGCCTATGTTCAGCACTGGACGTCCTATGGCTGAGATGATGATGATGAAGTAAAGTTTAGCAGTCCCCTGGCAATTACTGACAACACCTTCCATTGTTAGTATATGTATATCACACTTTTAAACTATGTTTGCGAGTAAAGTATATTTCTGTTTTTTGTAAGAAGACGAATGACCACCTACATTGATGTCAACGACATTATTAAAACTGTCATGCTTTACCAGGATAAAATGCCAGTTTACACTTGCATAGTACCCTACCTGAAGTACCTCGGTATAATACTTGATATTATAACAAATCAAGACTTACTTAAGTGCATTTAAATTCAAACCACGTCTTTTCCTGGTTATGTAGATTCAAATCTTAATCGTGTATTCAAGTATAATCTTTATTCCTATGAACAAAAGGATCACCAGTTTTCTCAAATGGCCTTGTTGATCCATCATGACTGTACAACAATTACAATACTAGATGATGATTTTATGTAACAAAGAAGGGATTTACTGAGATAATGCAGTTTTTTCAACGACCTTGGACAGTCTCAATGGATTGTGAGTCATTTTAAGATGAACACTTCAATAACATCAACAACTATTAGTTGTTGTTATTGGGGCAACCCAGCAGGATAATAACAATAATTGACAACGGTTGAGTTACTATAATGTTTACAATTTGAATGCTATAAAGGTTTTATGATAGAGTAGTGGAAAAATAAAGTAAATTTTTCATCACTCACATTATCACATATCATGAAGTCACTTTGGTTTGGCGAGATATTCATCATCATCATCATCATAATCCCACTTCTCCAGTCACTGCTCTATGTTCTCCAAGTCTCTGATCCAGTAAGCAGGAAGACGTCCGACACTACGTATGCTCAACTCTAGGTCTTGAGATCTAGAGTAAAGGTTACTGCATTCGTCCTGGAACAGATATAGTAACCTCGTTTTAGCTTGAGGCATTTTAAGCTATTACAATGGCTCTTTGTCGAATAACCTCGTTCCAGGATTTATTCCTTAAAGAGATCCAAGGAATCCCCTCTTCCAATGGAATAAAGAAAACTGGAAAGGCATTTCAGAGGCTGTAACGTCAGAAATAGATCCTAAACTATAACTTGATGAGGCCACTTACTTCATTATGCCATAAAATCATTTTACTTATAAATGTTATGAAGCCAACTACATAAAGTCCATTGTTTTTATTACTGGTTTTTACAGGGTCTGGTTTCTATTACACATAAATTTTCCAGAACGTGTGATGACCTATAATAATTCTATCATTATGTTTGCATAAGGTAAAGAATATTAATTACTTCATACTATATCAACCGACAGACAGTGGTGACTAAGTTTATTGCGGCGCTTCTTCTCAGCACTTGCCAAATGTTGGTCTCGAAGCGCTGGTAGGGTAAAAGGTTATGAGACATGCAGAGGCTCCTTAAGAGCAAAATATTTGACGATTTGTAAGTTACTATTTATTAGTCTATNTCACCCTGTATAGTCTGGTGAGGTGACTGAACAGTTAACATCAAAAGATTTTTAGCTGTAATTGTTCAAAAGGTTTTTAGCTTTAAATAATTATGTACTATAAACATGTTGAATCTAAATAATAATACATAATAGTATTTAAAAATAGATTGTACAAAGACATTTTGGCCTTGAAAGGAAATGAGCACAGGGTCAGGCAAGTTTATTACCAAACTAATGAATTTATAAGCTAATTATCTTTGGAGATGGTAGAGACAGAATTTTGGCATTCTATTGGATTGGAGGATTTAATGGCCAGTGGCTAAGTAGTTCAGAACAATCGCCCAGCAAGTGGAGGTTCGAATCCTACCTCAGGCAACTACTTATAATTTTTTTAAATATTAAAAATAATGACTGCTCTTCCAATTACTTTGATAATTTTAATTAAACATGATAATTTCGTAATTCCAGAGGCCTGGCAGAAGAAGCTGGAAGAGTACAAGGACTGGTTCCTAGAGCAAGAGTCGGTGAAGGCCAACGAAGCCCTCAGACCTGGGAAGCCGACCAACTACGATGAGCTGTTTGGTATCGACGGATCTTTTAGACAGCTGTCTATAGACTAAATTTAGAATAACTAGATCTATTCTTACGTAGTTTTTATGACAAGGCTTAAGCACGTATTCTAAAAAGACTCTCAACTGGAAACCAGATTTAAAAAATTGAGATTCAAACTCTATCAGAGACAACAATCTATGTATAAAAGCGAAAGCTCACTGACTGACTCACTCATCACGAACTCTCAGAAACTACAAGTACTAGGAGTCTCAAATTTCGCATGGGGGTTCCTTTTAAAACGTAGGTGCTCACTAAGTCGGGATTTTGCAAAATTCAACCCCTAAAGGGGTAAAACGGGATCCAAGCGTAAGAAGTCGCGGGCGGCCGCTAGTAGGTTTATAATCCAAATCCAATGGTATTAGTCGGACTCGGAACTAATCCCACCTCTCGTTCCCACCGCTCAACTCCTATGTAGCCAGGATCTAAAGCTTGACCGCCTATAAAAACCCAACCAGTGAAGGCCAAGTTTGTTCCGGGGGAAAGTTAAACTGTTATTGGACCCGCTACGAAATTAATCAGAATAACATGAGGAGTTCGAAGTTAAGGTTCGACTTCTCTCCAGTGAAATGCCAGGTGATAAAACAAGGGATGTTTCATGGTTGAGTGTCATTTCAAAATACGGGCCTCAGTCAATTTTAGTTTTAAGAAGGTACTACACGGTTTTAGGTGTGTATTGATATTTACAAAATAATCAAAACTATCTAGAAGAAAGAATCGAGAAGAAAAATACTGCTTTTAGCGTACAAAAGCCATTTTAGACCATAACGCCTAAAAATATTTTCTATGCAATGTCCATCAGTGAAGATTTTTAAACCAAGATTTTAATAAAATGTAAGTTTCAATTCTTCTATTCTAGATTCATTTCTTTCTACATTGTTCTACCAAAACAAAACAAAGCGGAAGGTAGATTAAGATTAATTTTAGACTTAGGTAAGCTCATACAATGTTTGGGTGCTTATTGTGATATTTTTATACTTTGATTTAAATAAAATAGTTTGACTTTATTCGTTTGGTTTCAATGGTTACTAGACCTTATAATAGTGCCTAAATAATCTAAGACATACCTACGTAGGTCTTTATAATTAGAGCATTATGTTTATGATTATGTATAGTATCGTGACTTATGAAAAAGGGAGCGTTAATATGGAACAATGACAGTTTCATTGTTCAAAATACACACTTTCTTGTACACTCCTGCTTTCAATGTACATTGGCTGAAGCCCTACCTGAAATGCTGTTTCGTTGGCGACATGTCAATACTTTGAAATATTTGATAGTTAAGAAAAGCAAGATAAGATCAGAACTGCTGACGGCCGATAGGGCAGCAAGGTTCTGGAGTGGAGGCCGCGTACCGGAAAACGCAGCGTGAAACGTCCATCCACGAGGTGGACCGCCGACATCGGAAAAGTAGCAGGAAGGCGCTGGACGCAGGCCGCTACCAACCAGGCAACATGGAAAGCATTGGGGGAGGCCTATGTTCAGCAGTGGACGTCCTATGGCTGAGATGATGATGATAATAATTTGATAAGTAAAGTTTAGCAGTCCCTTGGCAACTGACAACACCTTCCATTGTTAGTTTATAAATGTTTGTGAGTTCCCTATTTCTGTTATTTGTAAGAAGACGGATGACCACCTACATTGATGTCAACGACATTATTAAAACTGTCATGCTTTACCAGGATAAAATGCCTGTTTAGACTTGCATAGTAGGGTGTCCCGAAATATCTTTTTTTATATTTTCGCTTCACAAGACCCCTCAAAAGTTGCGTCATAAGATGTAGATTACCGTAAAAATAATTAAAAAAATATAAAATAATGTCTCAAGGGCTCTACCGGCATTTTTATGTCTCAAAAAATCACTTAATCAGCCCTTCACTGTTTGTCATCTATTATATTTTTTTTTACAATTATTTCATTTTATTTTGTAATAACAGTGGCAGTGGAACCCTAAGATATGATTTGCAGGCAATGACAGACTGTTTCCAGTGAGGAATAGGTTTGGTTCGAACTAGCAGAATTCATATTTTGACTTGTTTTTCTCAAGTTTTCTACTTTTTCGGCGAGGCTGTTGGTATTATTTCTATTGAGGTTTTATTGCTGTAAGGTATCGCACCGCACTTTTTTGTTATAATATTACATATTTTTAGCATACATTTAACAAAAATTTAGCAAACATATGGTAGTAATATACTTTTTGAATTTTTTCATGTAAAACATAGCTTGGCAAAAATCTTTAAAATATTATATTTAAACAGAATACTAATTGACATGTTAAATAGTTTTAGCATACTATTAAATATAAATAACATTTATGTACGTTACATAAACATTCTAGCTGAATTTTTTGTTCTGTACGCAGTTTTTTATCAATGGTGAACTTCAACGGAAGTAAAAAAATATTTTTAGTTATGAAACGCATACATGTTATATATCAAATTAAAGACAATTTAATACACTTCTTTGGCTCGTGTAAAACTTTTAGTAGAGTATAAGACATTTTGTAAAAAAAAATGATTTAAAAAGTAGTATCACAACAATGTAAAAAAAATCAATTTTCCTTTAATCATTAACTAAAGGTTGATTTTATCGATACAATTTATACTACAAAATATCAAGCGCATACGTAGAGCTTTGATTTAAATAAAAAATTAATGAAATCGGACAAATGGTTTTCAACTTATGGTTGATTTTCTAAAATTGACTGCCATTTTTGTTAGCTTCCACTTAGAGATGCCAATCATTGTTTTATAATAGCGTAGTAAAATTATTAACCTGCTGTGAGAAGGGAATTGAGTATCCTCAAATTAAATCGATATCTTGGATGACCCATGGATTAATTAGGAATACATTAAAATCGCGCGCGTAAATGCCTAATTCTGGTCAAAAAGCCAATTCTGTTTTGAAAGTATTTATGGATTTATTGGTTTTTATACTATTTTAAACCTTGCTGTGACTCATTGTGTACCCTCAAATTACATAAAAACGCTATTTTTGTATTATTTATAGTTCATGTTAGGAACCCCTAAAATAGCAATTTTGAAAATTTTCAAGGAGAGGTAGAGGCCTCAAGATGACAGATATCTAATTAAATTTAATGCTAATCGAAATCTGTATGTCAAAACGCAACTTTTGACACCTCTTGCGTAACCGTAGCTCAAAAAAAAATTTTTCCCATACAACGACGGGACACCCTATTGCATAGTACCCTACCTGAAGTACCTCGGTATAATACTTGATATTATAACAAATCAAGACTTACTTAAGAGCATTTAAATTCAAACCATGACTTTTCCTGGTTATGTAGATTCAAATCTTAATCGTGTATTCAAGTATAATCTTTATTCCTATAAACAAAAGGATCACCAGTTTTCTCAAAAGGCCTTGTTAATTCATGACTGTACAACAATTACAATACTAGATGATGATTTTATGTAACAAAGAAGGGATTTATTGAGATAATGCAGTTTTTTCAACGACCTTGGACAGTCTCAATGGATTGTGAGTCATTTTAAGATGAATACTTCAATAACATCAACAACTATTAGTTGTTGTTATTGGGGCAACCCAGCAGGATAATAACAATAATTGACAACGGTTGAGTTACTATAATGTTTACAATTTGAATGCTATAAAGATTTTATGATAGAGTAGTGGAAAAATAAAGTAAATTTTTCATCACTCACATATCATGAAGTCACTTTGCCGAGATATTCATCATCATCTTAATCCCACTTCAGTTCAGTCACTGTTAGCTATTCTCCAAGTCTCTGGTGGAGTAAGCAGGAAGACGTCCGACACTACGTATGCTCAACTCTAGGTCTTGAGATCTAGAGTAAAGGTTACTGCATTCGTTCTGGAACAGATATGGTAGATTCCTCGTTTTAGCTTGAGGCATTTTAAGCTATTACAATGGTTCTTTGTCGAATAACCTCGTTCCAGGATTCATTCCTTAAAGAGATCCCAGGAATCCACTCTACCATGGAATGAAGAAAACTTGGAAAAGTATTTCAGAAGATGTAACGTCAGAAATAGATCCTAAACTATAACTTGATGAGGCTACTTACTTCATTATACCATAAAATCATTTTACTTATAAATGTTATGAAGCCAACTACATAAAGTCCATAGTTTTTATTACTGGCTTTTACAGGGTCTGGTTTCTATTACACATAAATTTTCCAGAACGTGTAAACCAATAATAATTCTATGTATCTTAATGTTTGTGTGAAAGGTAAAGAATATTTTCCCAACAAGTTATCAAGTAGAGTCAAGTCTCAAAGTTCAAGTCTGCGAACTTGTTGGGAAAATATTCATTTTTTGGGGGGAGGATTTTTCGGGGACTCTACCCCTAAAAATCCTCTGTGGTTGGTAACATATTATGGGACTGTTCCTTCCTTTTGATCAACCAACGCCCTCAAAATGTTTTCTAGCAGAAGATGCGTGAAAAAAATAAAGGGAGGTCTCTTGGGGAGGATTGTGTGTCAATGTGTGTGTCAGTAGACTGACATTGACATTGATGATAATAAAAAGTATCGTTCTTTTTTAACCGACTTCAACAAAACGAGGAATTCCTCTCAATCTGGTTATTTCATTACGGGATATATAAGAGTAGGTTTATTTTTTTTAATGTAAGTGTCCCATGAAACTATAAAGTGAGTAGTTATGTAGTATCTTTCAATATGGATTAAATAAATCGAAAAGTTTAAAATTTTGGGTAATTAAAAATTTAAATATTTTTTAGAATTCTTTTTTGGTCTTAGTCAGAAATCGAATCTGTATACTTATTAGGTAGAGATACATACATACACCTACTCGGCTTTGGCAAGATTTAGCACTTTCGATTCCACTAAAAAGGTCCTCGATGATGTAAACACACAGACCCATATTTCGTCAAACGCACAGGAATTATTTATACAATTTGCACCTATAAATTGTTTAATTGTTATAACACACGATTAAATATCATTGAGAAAAGAAAATTATGTTATTATAATGATTGTTTTTATGTAAGTAAAGTTAAGTTGGTAATTATGAGGACTAGGATACAAAAGTAAAGTAATTAGTAATAAATATCGCTAATAATTAAGACATATTAGGTCACTGATAATAAATCAAATTATTATTAACATTTTAATAATTCACTTCTGATTTTATTATTATTGCAATTCCCTTATGCAGTCATTATAAATCGATTTTTATTGCGTTTAATAATTATGATCTTTTTATAGATCGCAATAAATATCAATTCCTATTACATTTAATCCTTAATTTCTTAGCATTGTTATGTTAATATTTATTCGCAGATGTGATTGGATAAGCTGTTATCTATTTATCAAACAAACTGATAATAAATAATTTTATCTCATCTATTAGTCATTTATTCTACAGATGACGAGCACGTCGAGCTTATACTGTAGCACTTATGCAGTTGTATTAAGTATTGTTTTGCAACAGAAATGTGCAGGCTGACGTGCTGTCAACTACACATATTCTTGATTATCATTTTTCCATATAATCACGTATACAACCCACACATGACAAAATTGGAAGTCATTATCTAGTTTAACATGAATTTTGTTATCAGATCAGATTATAGATTTCCATTTTACTCAACTGCAGAAAAGAGGGTAAGTAAGTATATAAAATACACCTCGTAAGTATTTGGGCAAGACTCATGTATGAATTAGTAGTACATAAATGTCAGTTAATCAGTTAATTACCTACTTATTTGTGAAAACTCTTTTGGCTTTAATGTTTGACTATTTTTTCAAAAAATAATCTAAAGTAGAGTGGGCAGCAATACATAATAATGAAAACGGTCGGTTGGGAAAAACAACAGAAGGCAGCGAATTCCAGTCCCTAGCTGTTCGCATTATAAAAGAGTCATCGAAACGCTTAGTGTAGAGCGAGCTGGTCTGGAATGTCGACAATGTAGAGATGGTACGTATTATTAAATACGATCAATTGTATAAATTATCCTAACACCAGTGTTAGTTTTAAAAAT